TTAAATTGCATTTTAAATTGGTCCCCCCACCATTGTGTTTTTATTGTAATTTTACTGGTGTTAGCCACCCTGAGCCAGGGAGAGTGGGGTATAAATATTTTTTTAAAAAAATTATTATTATTAATCATCCAAAGGCTGGTTTTAACCTGAAGCCTAAAAATACATAATGAAGGTGCCAGGCAAACCTTGAGGAGAGCATCTCATAAATGGGGAGCCATTACAGAAAAGGCCCGTTCTTGTGTTGCCACCGCCAAACCTCACGTGGGCCTGAGATGATGAACACAGAGTCTGGTTTATACAGGGAGAGGCCGTCCTTGAGGTATTGCGGTCCTGAGCAAAATTCTATAATCAAGCAGTATACATAAAAAACAGGACACCCATTTTTTTTCTTGTGAACTTCCACGATTTTGGGCTGCACTTTTGGAGAGCATGGTGCCCAAAGAAACTTGTTTTGCAACGCTGCACAAGATTGCTGCCCCAATTTGGGGGCAGCGATCTTGCGTGGCACCCCTAAACATGCATTTGGGGGCACTATGCCCCAAAAAAGCACTTTTTGATGGGCACAATCTTGTGTGGGTCGCATAACTCACATATGAGTGTAGCCCCAAAAGGTGGTGTTCTGGTTTGAGGCATGATGGGTATTGTAGTCCAATATCTGGAGACCGAAATATCAGGAAGACTGATCTAGTCTCAACAGGACTATTCCAACTTGGGAGTATCTGCTTACTGCCTGAGCAACCTTTTTATATATTCCTCGTGCATTCAGTGTCCATCTGAAGATACAGAGGTACACCAGTCGTATGTGGACAGTCACCAAGTTTAGTATACTGTTCCCTGACTGGCCAGGCAAATGCCCCTCACAGCTAAGAGCCGAACTAGGCAGTACATACAGACACATGTCACATTGCCAGAAGCAATCTCAAGAGGAGACAGTTGGGAGCAATGGAGTAACGAAGAAAGGGGGCTTTCCTGGAGCAGCTTCTGTCTCTTGGGGTAATGTATACATCTGTACAGTGCAGTTTCATGCTCACATGGGGGGCAAAAAGACGATCAGTTAGTGCTTAACTCACACATTGGTCTCCAGTCTCTACGAAAAGGCTCTTTTTAGCTCAGGAATAGAGAATGTGCCCTACAGATGTTTTTGGATTCTCAATGCCCAACAGTTCCAGCCACCGTGGCCAATGATGAAGGTCTAAACCACTGAGCCTCTTGGGCTTGGTGATCAGAAGGTCAGTGGTTTGAATCCCCGCAACGAGATGAGCTCCCGTTGTTCAGTCCCAGCTCCTGCCAACCAGCAGTTCGAAAGCTCACCAGTGCAAGTAGGTAAATAGGTACCGCTCCAGTAGGAAGGTAAACGGCGTTTCCGTGCGCTCTGGTTTCCATCACGGTGTTGCGTTGTGCCAGAAGCAGTTTAATCATGCTGGCCACATGACCTGGAAAGCTGTCTGCAGACAAACGGTGGCTCCCTCGGCCTGATAGCGAGATGAGCGCCACAGCCCCATAGTCACCTTTGACTGGTCTTAACCGTCCAGGGTTCCTTTACCTAGTTCAATAACCTCTGGAGGGCCAACCCGCTTTAGCTCCCATTCTCAATAGCTTTGTGATAGTTGACCGCCTCTGCTGGACATTTGAGGACTTCTGATTTTGTAATGTATCAATCTCCTTCCTTCTCAGAACAAATCACGAAATTGGCCAAAGGGTCATCTAGTCTGACCCCCTGAATGGGTGAAGAAGGGTTAGTCCAGTTTCTGGACTCACAGCTGTCCATGGAGGCACAGGTCAATTCTGTGTCCAGGGCAGCTGTTTATCAGCTCCATCTGGTATGCAGGCTGAGACCCTACCTGCCCACGGACTGTCTCGCCAGAGTGGTGCATGCTCTGGTTATCTCTCGCTTGGACTACTGCAATGCGCTCTATGTGGGGCTACCTTTGAAGGTGACCCGGAAACTACAATTAAACCAGAATGCAGCAGCTAGACTGATGACTGGGAGTGGCCGCCAAGACCATATAACACCGGTCTTGAAAGACCTGCACTGGCTCCCAGTACGTTTCCGAGCACAATTCAAAGTATTGGTGCTGACATTTAAAGCCCTAAATGGCCTCGGTCCAGTATACCTGAAGGAGCGTCTCCACCTCCATCGTTCTGCCCGGACACTGAGGTCCAGCGCCGAGGGCCTTCTGGCGGTTCCCTCGCTGCGAGAAGCCAAGTTACAGGGAACCAGGCAGAGGGCCTTCTCGGTAGTGGCACCCGCCCTGTGGAATGCCATCCCACCAGATGTCAAAGAGAACAACAACTACCAAACTTTTAGAAGACATCTAAAGGCAGCCCTGTTTAGGGAAGCTTTTAATGTTTAATAGGTTATAGTATTTGTGTTTTGCTGGAAGCCGTCCGAACTAACACATATTCAGAGCCTGCTAATTTGGTTTGGGCTGAGGTGAAGATGCGATATATTTTTGGATCTCTCTCCATGAATGTTCTTGGGCTGCTGCATGGGCCAGGGCTTCCCTTCTCCATAACACAGGGAGAGGTAAAAAGGGGGACCAGGAATGGTAACAGAATGGTGAGCCCAGAGGCTCCAGCAAGCGTCCTGCTCCCAGATAGGAGAGAAGGGCGCAGTGCGTCTTCCCATGCTTCCTCATCTTCTCCATATCTTCCATGGCACAGGCCTTGCTGTTGAAGTTCCTGTCACTTTCTCCCACAATGAAAAGGATGTTCCCTTGGGCTTTTTCCACAGGCAGGACGCTGCCCTGGTGTTCCTCTGCGTGCGTGTCAAATGTGCCTCACACACTCAGATTTGTAAGGGATAGGCAGGGTGCAGAGATGCCGGTAGCAAATCATGGATCCATTGATGGCATTGGTCGCACTGATACAGTACCTCAGATCTGCGGCAGGAATACCGACATGGCCAGTGTGATTTCTGCCCCTTTGCATATTGGCACTATACCGATTCCAGGTCCACAAACCGGAAAAGCGGAAGGGGAGGGAGAAATCACAGAAATTGTGCATGTTGAAGGAAAGGATATCCAGCCTCAATGGGCTGGTGAAGGAAGAGGACAATTGCATCTTATATGCCATGTTTTGGGACGCGGGTGGCTCTGTGGGTTAAACCACAGAGCCTAGGTCGGCGGTTCAAATCCCCACGACGGGGTGAGCTCTCGTTGCTCGGTCCCTGCTCCTACCAACCTAGCAGTTCAAAAGCACATCAAAGTGCAAGTAGATAAATAGGTACTGATCTGGCGGGAAGGTAAACGGCGTTTCCATGCACTGCTCTGGTTTGCCAGAAGCGGCTTAGTCATGCTGGCCACATGACCCGGAAGCTGTACGCCGGCTCCCTCGGCCAATAAAGCGAGATGAGCACCGCAACCCCAGAGTCGGCCACAACTGGACCTAATGGTCAGGGGTCCCTTTACCTTTACCTATGCCATGTTTTAAACCAGGGGTGGATAATTTGGGTCCCCTGCTCAACATTTCCCTTTCCATGGAAAACATCGGGCACACAACTTAGCTACAGACCCTTCTCCCTGAGCACTAAGCTACATGGTGACATCGATAAAAACACAGCCAGGGAGATGCAGGAAGGAAATGTAAATTGGCATCTGCTATGCACACCTCAAAGTTTGATGCTGACATGATAGCTCCTCATCTGTAGAGAGTCCTTTTGATTTTACCTAGGAGGGCACTCCCCTATCTGTGCCCTATCTGCAATCTGAGATGGAACATGCCAGGAAGGACTGTACCACATGTTGCTTCTGCATGTTTGAACTCGACCATCTCTTAATCCTGGCAAATAAACACTTATTTTTGTTGTTGTTACAGAAATGTCCCTACTATTTCAGTAGTCAGAGCGCTTAATATCCTAAACAATATTAATTAAAATCCTTAAAAAATTTATTCTCCTCTTCCCTCCTTGTCCCTTTTTTTGGATTGTAAGCCTGTGGATAGAGAGCGTCTAATTTTGATTTTATGTAAGCCGCTCTGGGAGCCTTTGGCTGAAGAGCGGGGAACAAATGCTATAAAAACAAAAAAGTCTACGGCCCCAAATATCTGAAAGACTGCCTCCTTCCTTTCAAACACTCTCAGATATTGAAGATCAGCAGGGGTAAGCGGGCATCTTGTGGTTACCACCACTCTCAGAAATGTGAGAAATGGTGGCCTGAGAGAGTGTTTTCTCTCTGGCAGACACTAAGCTGTGGAATAGTGTTTCTGTGATAGACTCAAAACACGCCTTTTTACCTAGAGTTTGACACTACACACACGAACACAAGGATCTTCTGAATGGAAATTCTTTTAAATGGTTTTAGTATTAATTACGCATTTTATTGTTGTAACCCACCCTGGGACCCTGTGGTGAAGGAAGGGCAAGAAATCCAAACAACAACAACCAGAAAGCAAAGTCATTGAATGAGTGTTAACTGATTCAGAAAACAACAGAGAAGGAAAAGCATTCAGCGTTGTGTTGATAAAGAGATCCAAGCGTACCAATTATGAGGGAATTTGACCCAATTTCGCTTGATGCACTTTGCCTGCAAGGATGTTTGTGTGTGTGTGTGTGTGTGTGTGTGTGTGTGTGTGTGTTCTGTTTTTTTGGATGTTTGGACCTTCGGATGTTTTGAAATAAATTCTGCAGCTTCCTCAAAATATTTCAGATCCACCACACCCAGAAAACTGGGTAGGTCTTCGTAAAGCAAAATACACCAGGGCCACAGCTGCAAATCCACAGGTGGCAAGAGGGCTGGCCTGAAATTCAGTCACTCCACCAAGGTCACCGAAAATGACTCCTGGGGAAGAAAAGGTCCTTGCCCTGCGGATGACAAGAAAGATTGCGATGAAAATAAGAGGGGGAGAGAAAGAGAATCGAAGAGCTGAGATGGGGCGGTGGGAGGGAAGCTATTTCTATGCACTTTAAGGGTTGGTATTCAAATTAAACACCAAATAGTTCCAGAGTAGCCATTGCCCCTCTTGTTTCCTTGTGAGGAAAAAATGCTGGTGGCCTCTCAATTATACTACCTGTTTATTTACAAATATATGCATTGGGTAAGGAATAGCCAGCAAACCGCTGAATAGACAGTCGATAGCAATAAATTTATCACAAAAAAGGACTGGAAAAGGCTAAGGCAGAACAGGAAAAGGTTAAGAAACCAAAACTGGGTGGAGAAACTCCACTAAGAGGGAAAGTTGCAGTATTTGGGAGTTTTTTAGTTTATAGAACAGGTGTGAAAGGCTGGTTCTAGACACATCAAAAAGCATTTCAGGAAAACACGTTGTAAATTTCATAATGGGAAATTACAATGACGGAAGACGGGACTCCACAGCACCATCTGGTGTCGCAGTGTTATAACGCATATAAAATCTGGCTGGCCATTGTCGTAACAGGATATTAGAGGGGCCATGGACCTCATCTACCAGGTCCTTCCTACATTCATAACTGCCCTTTGACATTTCAAACAAATTGAGTTTTCCTGTTCATATCTGAATATGGGAAATTGCAGTTTACACCAAATCAGAATTATAACAAACTGGGGTAAGGTTGCTGTTTCAGGTCTTAAGTTGGCTTAACGGAAATGGTTCCCTGAATTTGGCTGCAATGTGAAACCGGTTTGATGCAACTTGGAACGAAGTTGAAAGCTTGAGAGAACTTCTTCGCTGCCAGTATAAAGGATGAGCAAGTCAATTTCCCTTGGTCTCTTGACCCAAGTGGCCAGTTTTTAATTATGCAGCAGCTTTAATGGGATTCTTCTACTGTGGATTTTAATTATGAACGTTTGTATTTTAATGCTTATGTAACTGGTTTCATAACTGTCAACCACTTAGCATGAAATTGTATGTAAAGTTAATGTAAAGTTAATAACTATCATAAGGGTCACTGTGGCACATTCTTGTGAAGTGATACTAGGGTTTTTCAGAATGTCACAGGTGGGTCTTCTGTCTTTGCTGCCACAGCAGCAGAACACAATTGTCCTTACTGAATCTCTCCTACTTGAATTTTAGGTAAAGGTAAAGGGACCCCTGACCATTAGGTCCAATCATGACCGACTCATCTCGCTTTAGCTGGCCGAGGGAGCCAGTGTACAGCTTCCGGGTCATGTGGCCAGAATGACTAAGCCGCTTCTGGCGAACCAGAGCAGCACACGGAAACGCCGTTTACCTTCCCGCCAGAGCGCTACCTATTTATCTACTTGCACTTTGACATGCTTTCAAACTGCTAGGTTGGCAGGAGCAGGGACCGAGCAACGGGAGCTCACCCCATCATGGGGATTCGAACCCCCGACCTTCTGATCGGCAAGTCCTAGGCTCTGTGGTTTAACTCACAGCGCCACCCGCGTCCCCTACTTGAATTTTAGTTAAGCATATTTTTGCATTTGCTCACAGAAATTTTGTGGCACAGTGGGAAGTGTGTCTGGCTGTTAATCAGGTGGTTGGTGGTTCGCGCCCCTCAAGGGATGGTTGTGGATAGGATTCCAAAGCCACTAGAATGCCTATATTACACAAATCCAATCATGTTTATATGATTTAGAACTACGCACAGCTGATGAAGCCCCTTGGGGCGAAACAGGGGAATATCCAGGAATCCTTGTCTTGTCTGCCTGTGCCAGCATCTACCAGTGCCAGTTTCTTATGTCTACCAACTTATCATCATCATTAGACACTTAGAAGACTATTCCATGGTACTCTCCATCAGACAGAAATATACAAGAGAAGTTGAAGAAATTTAAAATTAATGTACTACAGGACTGTCAAGTATATTGCCTCACTTTCTAACTGGATATATGAACAGAGTAGCCTATGCGAAAAGTACCTGTGAATTGGGTTGTATTCAAACCACGTCCAGTCACCACAAGACAACAAAATAGATAACTCTTGAGCAACTCATGCATACTTCCCACGTTAGATGGAGACAACCAGTTTTAAGGCTGCATAAACCTCAGCAAAGCTTCACCCACACAGAGCAAATGGCAATCACCCAAAATGCTGCTGAGCAGTTACACACTTACACACACACACACACACATATATGGAGACTGGTTGCGACAATTTTATTTTCTTAACAATTATTCCCATCACTTTCTTCATTGCCTGTCTTTCCTGATTATTTTTAATCAAGCTATTGACACACAAAAGTATGTGGACAAAATGGCTTAGCATGCACAACTGCTTGCTGATATCTATTTCTCCTCTTCGCTTTCAAGCAAGACAAGGTTACCAGTTGAAAGAGAGATGGGGGTCCATTGTTTACCATTTACTTCAACAGTGACCAGCCTGATGCTTGCACATATTTCTCACCAAGTCACTATTGCAACTGAACACTTGTAAAGAGGAAGTAAACCACTTTGGAAATGTGGTAAAATAAAATAAAAATCCTATCTGTGCCCATGGTGATGCTGCTATACAGATAAGAGTTTGGAACGGTGTTTTCATCCTGTTTCTCCACAGCTCAGTACTGCCATCGGATCTTCAGGTTCGAGGGCAGCTGCTGCGTGCTTAACTCATCAAACTTTGATATGTCTTTCACAGGCGTACTGTAGAAAGCCAAGACATCTCTGGCGCTCTTCATTTGGTGGAGTTGGGAATTAGGGACAGCACAGCCTAGATCTGTCGCCAGCTGTGCCAACAGAAGATATTTTAAACGACTATCTCCCAATGACGCCTCTTGCCAGTCCTTGGAGACCGAGGGTCCAAATATCTCTTTGATGCGAGACTCTAGGCGAGACTGGAGATCCTCAGGAGGGAGGTATTTTTTGCTTCGCGGTGGAGGACAAACCAGGACCGGCTCCTCTTTCACTGGCTCTGCTGCTGCTGGGTCTCCTCCCGTCTCCTTGCTGAAAGGAGGCAGAAGACCGCTTTTTAATAGAGTGTTAAATATTTATATCTTGTCATCTACAAACAAGGAGTTTACATTAGAGCCTGAAATCCCTGCACACACTAGCCTTATTACAAATATGGGACTCTTCTCAACCTAAGAATGACCGACTGCATACCTCCGTATGAATGTGAACCCAGGACTCCCATGTCCAGTTCTTAGACTCTTTGTTACACTAAAACACCTGTTTAGGTAGGGACATCTTGCAGGACATCTTTGGGAGAAGAAAATGAGCTCTATGTGGGGCTACCTTTGAAGGTGACCCGGAAACTACAACTAATCCAGAATGTGGCAGCTAGACTGGGTGACTGGAAGCGGCCGCCGAGACCACATAACTCCGGTTATGTGACACATAAGACCTACATTGGCTCCCAGTACGTTTCCGAGCACAATTCAGTGTTGGTGCTGACCTTTAAAGCCCTAAGCAGCCTCGGTCCAGTATATTTGAAGGAGCGTTACCACCCCCATCGTTCTGCCCGGACACTGAGGTCCAGCGCCAAGGGCCTTCTGGCGGTTCCCTCACTGCGAGAAACCAAGTTACAGGGAACCAGGCAGAGGGCCTTCTTGGTAGTGGCGTCCTCCCTGTGGAACGCCCTCCCACCAGATGTCAAAGAGAACAACATCTACCAGACTTTTAGAAGACATCTGAAGGCAGCCCTGTTTAGGGAAGCTTTTAACGTCTGATGCATTACTGTATTTTAATATTTTGTTGGAAGCCGCCCAGAGTGGCTGGGGAGGCCTGGCCAGATGGGCGGGGTATAAATAAATTATTATTATTATTATTATTATTATTATTATTATTAAAGGCTAAGGAGTAAATCCTACACAAGTCCAGAGTGGAATCCCTAAGGTGGTAGGATGGCGCCTAGTAGATCTCCTTCCAGCAACTCCTGCAGCCAAGCTAGTGCCAAACGTATTGTTCTGCTTTCCTTTGGACCACATCACATCAGCCAAGAGGGGGGTCTTGTTGTTTGGGCAGCCCAGGACCCCCATACACACTGACCAGGCAGAGAGGCAGTGTCTCCATTGTCTCTTGAGGCAGACAGCTGCCAATAATAGTTTAGGTAGGGGTTGATAGCGGACCCTCCACGTGTCCCTATTTGATCCCAGAATGGCCTGCTTTTCCTTAGGGCATCCCTATTTTCATTGGAGAAATGTTGGAGGATTTGGAGTAATGCAACCCCCAGAGCCAAGGAGATAAGTAACTATAAAACCTTTAGAAGACATCTGAAGGCAGCCCTGTATAGGGAAGTTTCCTAATATTTAATGTTTTATTATGTTTTCATATATGTTGGAAGCCGCCCAGAGTGACTGGGGCAACCCCGTCGGATGGGCTGAGTATAAATAAATAATAATAATAATTTATTATTTATACCCCGCCCATCTGGCTGGGCTTCCCCAGCCACTCTGGGCGGCTTCCAAAAGAATATTAAAATACATCAAACATTAAAAGCTTCCCTAAACAGGGCTGCCTTCAGATGTCTTCTAAAAGCCTGGTAGTTGTTGTTCTCTTTGACATCTGGTGGGAGGGCGTTCCACAGGAAAGGCGCCACTACCGAGAAGGCCCTCTGCCTGGTTCCCTGTAACTTGGCTTCTCGCAGTGAGGGAACTGCCAGAAAGCCCTCGGTGCTGGACCTCAGTGTCCGGGTAGAATGATGGGGTTGGAGATGCTCCTTCAGATATACTGGACCAAGGCCGTTTAGGGCTTTAAAGGTCAGCACCAACACTTTGAATTGTGCTCGGAAACGTACTGGGAGCCAATGTAGGTCTTTCAAGACCGGTGTTATGTGGTCTCTGCGGCCGCTCCCAGTCACCAGTCTAGCTGCCGCATTCTGGATTAGTTGTAGTTTCCGGGTCATCTTCAATAGAGCGCATTGCAGTAGTCCAAGCGAGAGATAACCAGAACATGCACCACTCTGGCGAGACAGTCCGCGGGCAGATAGGGTCTCAGCCTGCGTACCAGATGGAGCTGGTAAACAGCTGCCCTGGACACAGATTGGACCTGTGCCTCCATGGACAGCTGTGAGTCCAAAATGACTCCCAGGCTGCGCACCTGGTCCTTCAGGGGCACAGTTACCCCATTCAGGACCAGGGAATCCTCCACACCTGCCCGCCTCCTGTCCCCCCAAAACAGTACTTCTGTCTTATTAATAAAATAACAACCTTATTAACATTATGCAGCAGGAGGACGTTCCTATTGTTATCGGAGAAATGACGGGAGGGCATGCGATACGTTTCCTCCCCATGTGCAATCCCAAACAGCTCAAGCTTCCCATTATTAGCATTGCTTTTAAAAACCCCTTTTATGCCTTCGGGTTCACAAAGGCGTGGAGACAAGAAATTGGGGGGGAAACCTGCCCATTGCGGCTGAGCCAAAATAAGTGAAACAGGCACCTAATATTGAAGGCAAGAAGCCTGAAAGCCAGTTAAAGGAAACCCCGAGTTAGAATCATAGAATTGTTTGGAATGGGATCCAAGGGTCATCTAGTCCAACCCCATGCAATCCTGCCCACAGCCCCCCCGGGTGGGCTCGAAACCCCCATCCCTCCCGAGGGGAGCCTCGCGCGCCTCCTGCGCCAACTACCTCACCTCACGCCTCCCCACAGCGCCCTGCGTGGATTGAAGCCGACGACCCGCCTGACGACCCGCAGAGCACCCGCGGAAGCCACCATTTCGGAACACGCTCGGAGAACACCGCCCTCCTGAGGGCAAATGAAGCAAAACGGAAGCTGGGAAGGGAGGATGAACTTCCCGGAGCCCGCTGCATCATGGGATGAGGAGGGTTTACTTTCCCTCCCGCCTCTCATTCGCGAGTCTCCGCCTCGCTGAGGCTTGTGGGATTTGTAGTTTAAGGCATGGAGGGAGGTGTCAAGTGGGGCTCGTGTGATTGGCTGGGCTGGCTCTGGTTGCCGCAGCAACCGGATAAACCGGTCTCCCCACCACCTGTAAAGTGAATAAAAATGAGAAATGCACGTTGCCCATCCTCAGCTATGGAGGGGATTTCTCCCATTCCACTCAGCGAAATGATTGATCTGATGCTGGGATTTGCCCATTTCAGCACTGCGCCTACTTTAAAAATAAAAATAATAAATTTGTTACCACCAATATCAGTAGGGGGCTAGGGAACAGAGGCAGATCAGTCCCACTGAATTGGAGGTTAGCAAAATGGTGTGGTAGCTGGGATAGCTTAGTCGGTAGAGCCTAAGGCTTTTAATCTCAGGGTTTTGCGTTTGAGCCCCATGTTGGACAAAAGATTCCTGCATTGCAGAGGTCTGGACTAGATGACCCTTATGATCCCTTCCAACACTATGATTCTATGAAAAGACAAGAATATTGGCTCAGGAAGAGCTAACTCCAAATCCCTCTGCAGCTCAACAGGTGGCCAGTCATTATATCTGAAAGGGTTGTTGTGAGAATAAGATTAAGAAGCCCCATGTAAAAAGGTAAAGGACCCCTGGACAGTTAAGTCCAGTCAAAGGCGACTGGGGTTGCGGCGCTCATTTTGCTTTCAGGCTGAGGGAGCCGGTGTTTGTCCACAGACAGCTTTCCAGGTCATGTGGCCAGCAGGACTAAACCGCTTCTGGCACAACGGGACACTGACGGAAAACCAGAGCACACGGAAACACCGTTTACCTTCCTGCCACAGCGGTACCTATTTATCTAATTGCACTGGCATGCTTTCAAACTGCTACATTGGCAGAAGCTGGGACAGAGCAATGGGAATTCAACCCATCGCAGGGATTCAAACCACCAACCTTCTGATCAGCACCCCAAGAGGCTCAATGGTTTAGACCACAGTGCCCCCTGTGTCCATGGAAGCCCCATGTAAGCTGTTCTGAGCTGGTTGGAAGAAAGAAAGGTGGGCTGCAAATATTGTAAAGTGCTCTTACTCTTTTACCTGTTATCTTATATCTTGCTCCCTCTTTTATCTGTTAGGAAATTGCTGGCTCTTGATACTGATGATATGGCTGTTGCTGTCTAGGTGTCAAACCTTACATATAGGGAAAGAGATGGCAGAAAAACGGGCAGAGGTGGTGGTTCTCCACTGATCCGAAAGCCCAAGGAAACCTCCTTCATTGAGTCATGTGCAGGACATGCCATGCTGGCCTCACTTTCACTTGGTTTCAAAAGCAGCTCTGCCAAGTGCTTGGGGCTTGTGAAGGCTGGCTCCCTAAAAAGAGCTCTCTTTTTCTAACTTCCACTCAAATATAGCAAGAGCCTGGAAGTCAATTGCATACCAGTTGCACAGTTAATAGCAGGGACTTCTGCAATAAGTGATGGGAAACATGCCCAAAAGTTTGGGCTAATCCTTGCTTTGATGCGATGTCATTTAATTCCTCCACATGCAAATCAAGAGGGAATATTTGTAGCGATCACACAGGGTCCCTGGACGTTCCACTGTCTATTGATCCCTGTGCCACCACTTTAGTTCCCGCTGCCACCACCCAGGCCCCACCTGGTACAATACTGAGTCCAGTCAGGGTTAAATTGGAACATAAACTTCTGTTTATTTATTGCAGTTTAACAAGCGTGTGGTTTCATAAACGGTATCAGTCAATTACAATCATGGGGTGCCTATCCAGACCTGTAACTTCCGCTACCTGCTCTCACTCACTAAACCACCTCTCAGATATTTACTTGTCTTCCTAGCTCCTAACTGTTCCTGACTCAGCATATTTCACTACACTAACTCAACCTACTCACAGACTCTATCCCAATTCACTTCCACTCCAACCAACCTCCCAACAAACTCCTCCCTTCACCCATCCCAGAGCTGGTTTTATAGTCCCTCTGACTCCACCCACCTGGGTTCTGATTGAGTAACCTGTTTAACTATTTCACCTCCAGCACTCTCACATGTTAACGTCACAATGCTAATTAAATAAATCAATCTAATTTGCCTGCAAACAAAGCAGGAATACTGCTCAATGTACAGATCACCCGGAAACACTCTAAAAAGGAATAGTTGACATGCCACGACAAAAATACCATGAGAGGGCAAATAAATGGAAATACACAGTTAAAGTTTATCAATTTTTATTTCTTTTAATCTTTTCACTTTGACAGGAAATTGATTCACAGTTTATACATCGAAGACATTATGGATTAAAGAGTGTGTTTCATGTTCTCTCTCTCTTGTCTGTTGTTCTGTCTCAGCTGACAATGTTATCAGGGGTGGAGGGAAAAAAAAAGGGCTGTATCCAGCTCTCCAGTTGGCTATGGGAGACATCTTTAAAAAAACAAAACAAAACCAGCTGTCCAAGGAGAGGATTAAAGTCAGTGAAGGATGGATCCATAAAACCTGTCAAGTTATTTTGGAATGTGTAGTTGCAGTGAAGTTATTTTAACTTTGTGCTGAAGGATTAGAAGTGTGCAGTGGGACCTTTTATTCCACTCCGTTTATTTGCCGCTTCTGATGGGGATGTCATGTGAGATGTTTTCCCTTTGGATCTCCTGCCAGCTGCAAAGAGGGGCAAGCTAGCTGCACCATTTTCTGAATTAGTATGTGTAACTGGCAGTGAAAAGTGACTGGGTGGCTGCTCCACCGGTCTTCCCAGAGGTGGTGTATTGACCTCTGCAGGCTAAGCTATTTATCTAGAAATAAAAATAACAGCTGGTCAATTTTTTTTAATAAAAAACAGGGGAGAGACAACCAAACACCATAGCTATGTACACCCAAAATTTTTTCTAGAATCAATGGAGACTGAGTACTAGTCCATACACAATCTAAATCTATTACTTCTTTCTTTCTTTCTTTCTTTCTTTCTTTCTTTCTTTCTTTCTTTCCCCCTGAAAAGCACTTTGTGACAAACTGGGAATCAGGGCAATCTCACACATTATGCAGCAAGAAAACCCATGTTTGGGTGTGTGCTCTAAAGACAGTAGCAACCAGTCCCAATCCTTTTGGTGATACCTATATGATTTACCTGTTTTCTGTTAAATTTTTGCTGCACCCACATGTTGGCTTTTAAGCATTCACTTAAAAACTTAACTTTTATCAAGATGCCCAAGTACCACAGGCAAGGTGTACTAGGTTCTAATCAAGCACTCTGACCCAGTTCCCTCTAACGCTATTCTCCGTACTTCTCTGCACTGGTTCTTTTAATTATACTGTCTTAAAAGGCGAGAAAAAAACTACCTTATACCAAGTCAAACCATGTAATTATCTAGACCAGGGGTTGTCAACCTGGTCCCTACTGCCCACTAGTGGCCATTTCAGGATTCTAGGTGGGCAGTAGGGGGTTCTACGGGACAAGCTGAATCCTCCTTCCATCGAGCACTGGTGGGCGGTAAGGAAATTTTACCATCCAGAAAGATGTATTAGTGGGCGGTAGATATAAAAAGGTTGACTACCCCTGATCTAGACCGGCTGGCAGCAGATCTTCAGGATTGGAACCTTTTCAATGCAAAGTTTGCTGCCTGCCACTGAGCTCAGGCTCTTTCCCCTCTTACCTTTGCACGTTTGCAGAAGGCCTCCTGGGCAGCCTTCTTGTTCTCAGGCTTCCCAGACCAGGCAGCCAGAGCCGATGCTTGCAAGGCCCGCCCGTAGGAGAAAGTCAGCTTCCAAGGTTTAGGCAGAGGGCAGAGATTGATGGCATTGAGGTTGACGGACGCCTCCTCCTCGCTTTGGCCCCCAGAAAGGAAGCAGATGCCTGCAGTTGGAATCAGAACGCAAGATTACCATAAAGACTGAAGACTTAATTTGCCAAGATGTTTTTGCCCAACATTAATCTAAATGAGTTAAAAACATAACAAGAAAGAGAGAGAGAGAGAGAGAGAGAGAGAGATAAGAAAAAAGAAATAGAAAAGAACTTTCAAGAGGAAATGGAAAAGAGACAGAGATTCTTTTGATTCTTCATTTTAACAATGACATTCCTCTGACTGAACGTGACTTGTAGGATAAACAGCCTCGGTCCTGTATACCTGAAGGAGCATCTCCACCCCCATCGTTTAGATCAGACACTGAGGTCCAGCGCCAAGGGCCTTCTGGCGGTTCCCTCATTGCGAGAAGTGAGGTTACAGGGAACCAGACAGAGGGCCTTCTCAGTAGTGGCACCCACCCTGTGGAATGCCCTCCCTTCAGATGTGAAGGAAATAAGAAGCTATCTTATCTTTAAAAGACATCTGAAGACAGCCCTGTTTAGGGAAGTTTTTAAAATTCTGAGCTGCCCAGAGTGGCTGGGGAAACTGAGCCAGATGGGCGGGGTATAAATTATTATTATTATTATTATTATTATTATTATTATTGAGTGGTGGCTTGCCTATGAGGCTGAGCTAATAAAGCCCTTTGTCAATAGACAGAACATTTGCGTTATTCAATGTCAAATGATCCGTGCCATCCTTTTAAAGCCTATGGCTTCCCCCAAAGAACCCTGGGAACCGTAGCTTACCAAAGATTCCCAGCACCCTTAACAAACTACAGTTCTTAGGCGGAAGCCATGTGCTTTAAAAGTGTTTTCAGTGTACGCCAGGGATGTGACAGATGCTATTCTACGGAGTCGCTTCCCATGTCTGGTCGATTGGCAGCCAGCAACTTAACCAAAAGCGTTCTTGCAAATCAAATGCAATGGACACACATCTGTAAATCAGGTAAAGAGCAGATCAGGGAGGCCCAGACACACCCTTAAAGAAAACCCTGACAGATCGCAAGGGCTGAAGAATGACCTGGAACAGCCGCTGGGACGGTGCGATGGAGAGCTGTCACTGTGGCCATGGCCACTTCTTCGGGGGTGTACTTCTTGGGACAAGAATGCCCCGCAGTCACCATGTTGGGCTTCAGCAATGTTCCTTCCAGGTAGACATGGTGGTCATTCAAGGCCTTGTACACAGCAGCCAGCACCTGGGACACGAGAAGAAGTTGGGGTGAAACATGTTTGAGTATACATGTGTAGGATTAGTCCCACTTTATTGAAATGGGTCCACTCCAAAGTATGTGTGCACAGGATTGCTACCTCTAAGCAGAGTTACTCCACAGCAGGCTTCCTCAACCTCAGCCCTCCAGATGTTTTGAGACTACAGTTCCCATCATCCCTAACCACTGTTCCTGCTAGCTAGGGATCATGGGAGTTGCAGGCCAAAAACATCTGGAGGGCCGAGGTTGGTGGTATCTGACACCTAGTAAACTAGCAAAGTTGTATAAAACAAACTCAAATAAATGTTGGAGGTGTAAGCGTGCAGAAGGAACAATGTTGCATATGTGGTGGGGGGTGTAAGAAAATCAGAAACCTTTGGGATAGTATCTATGAAGAACTGAAAAGAAAATGTTTGGACAAACGTTTGTTAAAAAGCCGGAAGCATTTCTTTTGGGTTTACTAACTCCAGATATCCCAAGCGATAAAAGAAGGATATTTTTATATGCCACAACAGTGGCAAGAATGCTGCGAATCCTGCTGCGACCAGCTCCCCTCTCCCCTGGTCTCCCAGAAATAGAAGAGGTATAAAGAGGACAGAGCAAAGACAGACAAGGCAATGGAGTCTCAGATCGCTTGGGAAGGACCTTAGGGAGGAGGAGCTGTGGGATGGCAGAGACCTTTGGTCCTCGCCACTGCCTCGTAGGGGCAAGATCTACTGGGATGAGTTGCTGCGCTCACTAGGCCTGGCCTCCGGAACCGGCTGTGTTTCCTTGAAGCTTCACTAATACAGTGTGACTTCTTGCCAACCTTCTCCTGACATTATCGTTGAGGTGCAGGAACATGGTGAGCTTCTGATGCCACCCTTACCTTTTCTGTCACGTACTGGCACCGTTGGAGGTCATGGTCTCCATCAGGCAGGATCTCAGGCTCCACGATGGGCACTAGTCCATGCTGAAGATTCAAGTGAAAATGTAATGGGCATCTAGATGAACTAGGTTCTAAGTTCATATCCATAGGGAAAGGTTCCCAAAAGCTGCCACACCGTCCCACCACCAAGCTGCCAGGAAAACACTGAGTTATTGAGAGGGTATACCTGTTGGCAGATACTGGCATAACGTGCCAGTGTATTAGCGTTCTCCTGGATGGCAAGAGTGGAGGGGGTCGTATCTGTAATTTTCAACACAGCACGCCACTTTCCAAAGTCAGCTCCATCCTTCTTATACTGGGCACAGCGCTCAGCAAGGCCATCCAAACCTGAAGGCAAAAAAGAGAAGAAAGATGGGGCCTTTTAGAAGATTTGCGGGTGGCGCTGTGGTCTAAACCACAGAGCCTAGGACTTGCCGATCAGAAGGTCGGCGTTTCGAATCCCCGCAACGGGGTGAGCTCCCGTTGTTCGGTCCCTGCTCCTGCCAACCTAGCAGTTCGAAAGCACGTCAAAGTGCAAGTAGATAAATAGGTACCACTCCGGTGGGAAGGTAAACGGCGTTTCCGTGCGCTGCTCTGGTTCGCCAGAAGCGGCTTAGTCATGCTGGCCACATGACCCGGAAGCTGTACACCGGCTCCCTTGGCCTGTAAAGCAAGATGAGTGCCGCAACCCCAGAGTCGGCCACGACTGCACCTAATGGTCAGGGGTCCCTTTACCCTTTACTTTATCCCAAGGGCAGAAGGCTGCATTTTAAGTAGCGTGCATTTTAATCAGAATTTTAACTTCTCGTAATTTCCCCCCTGATGTTATGGTTTTATCATTTTGCAAGCCGCTTTGAGGGAGTTTCATTTTTACACAATCCAGCAGTGTCTACATTTTATGAAATATTATGATTATTATTTATGCCCCACCCATCTAGCTGGGTTTCCCTAGCCACTCTGGGCAGCTTCCAACAGAATTTTAAAAACACAATAAAACATCAAACATTTAAAACTTCCTAATGCAGGGCTGCCTTCAGATGTCTTTGGAAAGTTGTATAGTTACCGTACTTATCCTATTAATGCCAATAATAATAATAATAATAATAATTTATTATTTATACCCCACGCATCTGGCTGGGTTTCCCCAGCCTCTCTGGGCAGCTCCCAACAGAATATTAAACAGAATAAAACATGAAACATTAAAAACTTCCCTAAACAGGACTGCCTTCAGATGTCTTCTAAAAGCCAGATAGTTATTTATTTCCTTGACATCTGAAGGGAGGGCATTTCACACGGCTGGCACCACTACCAAGAAGGCCCTCTGCCTGGTTCCCTGTAACCTCACTTCCTGCAGGTAGGGAACCGCCAGAAGGCCTTTAGAGTTGGACCTCAGTGTCCGGGCTGAATGATGGGGATGGAGACGCTCCTTCAGGTATCCTGGGCTGACAGATGTGGTATCAACAGAATTTTTAACAAATTCTGTTTGGAACTGACGCGCTCTCTCATATTTCAAGGTTCAGAGGAAATAAATATCTCACCTTGAATGGTGGTTTCTCCATTCGTTCCTGCCAATGGAGCTGTGCCTTTGTCCAGCTGTGGAAGTTTAACACAAGCATTAGCAAAACGTTCCCAGATTGACTGTACAGGGCCATTGCATCTAAGCTGTAGATTGGTTGATACATGCAATGCACTGGTATGTGCTTGATCAATGTCAGGTACGGGAAACCTCTGGGGCTCCAGATGTTGCTAAACTACCACTACCACCATCGCTGGCCATTAGCCATGCTTGCCTGGGCAGGTGGAAGGTGTAGCTCAGGCATAGGCAAATTCGGCCCTCCATCTGTTTTGGGACTACAACTCCCATCATCCCTAGCTAACAGGACCAGTGGTCAGGGATGATGGGAGTTGTAGTCCCGAAACATATGGAGGGCCGAGTTTGCCTATGCCTGGTGTAGCTCAACAACGCCAGCAGGGACAAAGGTTCCCCACACCTGATTTATATGATCTATATCAGGCTTCCTCAACCTCGGCCCCCCCAGATGTTTTGAGACTACAATTCCCATCATCCCTGACCACTGGTCCTGCTAGCTACGGATCATGGGAGTTGTAGGCCAAAAACATCTGGAGGGCTGAGGTTGAAGAAGCCTGACCTACATCACTGCATAACCTATGTTCTTCTGTCTAAATCGCACCAACAAATGACTATGAAGGTGTTAGCACCAAATACTCCTATATGTCACACTATCCCTGCTTTCATAGCCAGTGTGGCGTAATGGTTAAGAGTGTTGGACTAGGACCTGGGAGAGCTGGGTTCGAATCTCCGCTCAGCAATGAAGCTCACTGGCTAACCTTGGTTCCATCACCATCTCTTAGCCTAAACTACCTCAGAGGGTTGTGGTGAGGAGCCACAGATCCTTGGAAGTTAAAGGGGGTATATGAATGTAAATAATAATAATAATATATATTTTTTTTAAAATAGAGCTACCACAGGCCCTTGTTATAAAAACAGTAAGTCGCTTTTTACACCAAAGTGTAATGATAAAAAAAGAAAAAAGCCTTAAAGACTAATAACAGCAGTAAAACAAGACCTAAATTATGCATACACACACACACATCCTAAATTGGCATAGCTCAGTTGGTAGATAGAAAAAAAAAAAGATACCTATCTCAGTTGGTAGTGCATGAGACTCTTCATCTCAGGGTCATGGATTTGGGCGGAAGATTCCTGCATTGCGGGGGTTTGGACTAGATGACCGTTGGGTCCCTTCTAACTGACATCTCTGTGACATCCTACCTATCCCACTTAAAAGAATGAGCACAACCAAGAGGCCACAGGCACAACTTGTTACCTTCCCAATTCAGTGCTGGGTGAATAGAAAGGTCTTGCCTGGTGCAAAGCAACAGATCGGGATGACTCCAGGCATGCTTTCCTGGGGAGAGCATTCTACAAGTGGCGGAGCCAACACCGAAAAGGCCCGTTCTCATGTCGCCGCTCGCTGAACCCAGAGAGGACACATGGAGACAGTTCTCAGATGACGGGACACAGTGTCCGGTTTTGTTCATGTGGGGAAAGGCGGCCCTCGAGGTGCAGAGACAGGAGAAATGGGAGGTGAAGAAGAAGAAGAAGAAGAGTTTGGATTTGATATCCCGCTTTATCACTACCCGAAGGAGTCTCAAAGAGGCTAACATTCTCCTTTTCCTTCCTCCCCCACAACAAATACTCTGTGAGGTGAGTGAGGCTGAGAGACTTCAGAGAAGTGTGACTGGCCCAAGGTCACCCAGCAGCTGCATGTGGAGGAGCGGGGAATCAAACCCGGTTCACCAGATTACAAGACTGCCACTCTTAACCACTACACCACACTGGCTCTCCAGTGTGAAGACACTGGTCGGACCTCTTGGCCTTCGTACAGTTAACTGTGGACAAGATATTCACCTTGATTCCAACCACGATGCCCTTGTCCTTGATGACATTTGGGAAGAGCTTGCCAGTGTTGTCCTTCTGATAGAGGGTCTCGTGGAAAAAAATGACACCCCCTATCTGCTGATTGATGGAGGCGTCGGAAGAGAAGAGGATGTCTCGGAAGGCCCGGCGGTTCTCTTCGGTGTTCTCCACTTTGATGCGCTGCAGCCGATTACCCATAGTACCTGTGAAAAGCCACCAAATAGCAAAGCAGGGTGGATAAAAATCAATTATTTCAAAAAATTAAAATAAAAAAATCAGATTTTTAAAATTTAAATCAGATTTTTAAAAATAAAATGCTTTTGGAGGAAAAAGCTTTCTAAAGATAGTTTTCTATTTAAGTTCCGTTATAGTCCAAAGGCTATTCTTCAGGAAATAAGGATTTGTTTTAAGTTTTTCATGTGTGCTAAAAGTCGGTCTAAGTTTTTTTTTATTAAAAAAAACCCTTTAACCTCATCAGTTAAAAAACATGGATACATATGCTATAATGTTATTGCTCTTGTTAAATAAATTGTTCATATGTTATTAAGGAAATGATTATTTTTCTCCTTCCAACAAAGTACAGCAAAAAAAGTTGTCCAAATATAAACAGTTAACTTATTAAACCACACAATAATTTCATAATTATCTGTCTATGTGTTTCTAATAGTATAACCAAATATGTAATTTTTAATATAACTGTAAAACTACTCTGAAAATTTATTATTCCAAAAACGAAACCTTCTCCTGGTTGTAAATTTTAAGATTATACCAGCAAGAATGAGTCTGCAAATAAGAAAGAAAGAAAGAAAGAAAGAAAGGAAGGAAGGAAGGAAGGAAGGAAGGAAGGAAGGAAGGAAGGAAGACTTACTGACTAGTGATTTAAAACAAGTCTTGCTGACTAGTCATTTAAAAACTCACCAACAGATTCATCTGCGGCCAGGATTCCTTTGCCTGTGGCCACGATCCTCTGAGCTGTGTCTGAGAGGGCTTTCTTCTGTTCCGGAGATAGGGCTGGAAACTGATGGGTCATGATGGCTGAAAACAAACCATAATCCCAGGTTAGAAAACAGTCCAAGCCAATGTTTTTAACCATTTGATGTTTTGTTTTGCATTCTGGATGCCACACAAGATAGGACCAGACGATGCTATGTTTTAAATAGCAGAACAATAAGAGGGCATTTTACCGGTATATCAAAAGGTGGAACTGATGTCCAGGGGGAATTTCTGAAAGGTGGCGCTTTCGTGTTTTTTGTATAAAAGAGCTCAACAATTTTGGGGTCTTCCTAAAAAGAACTCGGCAATTTTTGGGTGTCCTGGCTTTTACTTTTTGAAATATGGCAGCCCAAACATATAGCCAGTATATATATATATGTATATATATATATATATTCTTTTTTCCACATAGAAAGTTACATTTGTTACACAGCAGTTATTTCCAATTCAAGAAAAGACAATTGCGCAACAAATATAATTGCATTTTAAGGTTCTGTCTTATCTGATTCCATCCTCTCTAACATATAGCTAGTTTAATAAAACAAAGCAAAGCAAAATACAAGTTGTTGTTTTTTGTTTTTAAGTCCACCTAGCCAAAATGTAAAATGCTGCTTCTGTTGAAGTCCGTTTTAGGTTGTGCTGGGATCCAGATAGTGCATTTTTTTCCCACCAACAACTATTACTACCATTTTGCAACTTTTTTCTGGTGCTACCTTCCTCCTCCTCCTCTTCTTCTTCAGCCAAAACCAGCCTCCAAGGATGTAAGTTTCATCAGAGCGAGGATGGGGAGTCTGTGGCCTTCCAGATGCTGCCATCTTCCAGCTCCCATCGGTCCCAACTAGCATGAATTAGATTTGCTCATCCCTAGCTACAGGAGAAAAGGGACGCTGGTGGTGCTGTGGGTTAAACCACAGAGCCTAGGGCTTGCCGATCACAAGGTCAGTGGTTCAAATCCCCGTGACGGGGTGAGCTCCTGTTGCTTGGTCCCTGCTTCTGCCAACCTAGCAGTTCGAAAGCACAAAGTGCAAGTAGATAAATAGGTACCACTCCGGCGGGAAGGTAAACAGCATTTCCGTGCACTGCTCTGGTTCGCCAGAAGTGGCTTAGTCATGCTGGCCACATGACGCGGAAGCTGTACGCCGGCTCCCTCAGCCAATGAAGCGAGATGAGCGCCGCAACCCCAGAGTCGTCCACAACTGGACCTAACGGTCAGGGGTCCCTTTACCTTTAGCTACAGGAGACATGTAGTTTTGTGCTCAGGGAGGCCACAGGTTGAGCAGAACACCAAGCTGTGCACCTTTAACTGCAGTCTCAGCAAACTTATCTGCGTAGATTAGAATGTTTGTTTCTAGGTAACTATTTGGTCTTCCACGCAGCAAAGGCTTTGCCCTAATGCTAACAAGCCCCCTTCTTTCGCCTGGCCTGTTTTGCTACTGTTTGCTAATGTACAGCTTTTCACTCTTTCCAGGGTATTACTCATGTGGACCTGAAAGGTTTTCAGGTTTATAGGAAGAGGAGGAATATCTGGGTTTCATGTGGATATGTTAGGCCTAACTGTAATGCAAGATGCTTTGAGTCTAAACTGCTATCTTGTGGACAACACCTGAAACTGCAGAAAGAGGTTTGCAAGTCAAGGTAGAGTTGCATCATTTAGCCGCTGCAACACACAGGGGCACAGCAATCCCTAAAACCTTGCCTGTTCACTGTTCTGCTTTGCTTGCTTGCTTGGTCAACCTCCACCTTTTAGAAACTTTAAAGGAAGTTTCTGTACGTGATGTGGAGGGAAAGCGGGGAGCAGGTGAGGCTCGTCAACCTGGAAAGGTAGCCCATCTAGGAAATGGAAAACTCTGACCCTAAACCTCCACTGCCTTGTCGGATACCTTCAGGGCCGTCTTAAATATATCCGGCGCCGTGGTGCACAGCTCCCTCTGGCACACACACACACCGTTCTTCAGAGTTGTCAACCTTTTTTTAGGGAGGATGGCGCTGCTGGAGGAGGCGGGCAGTGGCTGGAGGGTGGCTCCTCCAGCGGGGAAGAGGCGGGGGCTGGATGTGGCACCTCCCAGCTCAGCTGGCCATTTTGTGCCACAGTGGCCATGGCAGACGGAGGCTCCGGGTGCAGCGCTGCTTCGGCGCGGCATGGCAGAGGCAGGCGAGGGCGGCAAGCTGATGCCGGGAGGCACCGCATCCAGCCTCCGCCTCTTCCCTGGTGCCCTTCAGAACTTGGTGCCCTGGCGCCCTGCACCACTAACCTCTATGGGTAAGATGCCCCTGGATACCTTCGGGAGTAAACCCTACAGAAATCCAGAGTGGAGTCCCTAAGACAGTAGGATAGTCCATGCTTTTTTTCTGGGGGGATGCAGGGGTACGCATACCCCTAAACATTTTGTGAATCTAAGTTTTGCTTGATTGAGGGGCAGTATTTCAATATGAGTAGGAAAATGAGAGTACCCCTAAACATTTTTTAAAGAAAAAAAGCACTGAGGATAGTACATTGTACCCCTCCGTCCAGCAACTCCTGCAGTCAAGCTGGTGTCAGATATATTGCTCTGCTTTCCTTTGGACCCCGTCAGTGAGTCCAAGAAGGGGTCTTGTCATCTGGGCAGCCCAGGACCTCCATACACACTGCCTGGGCTTGCATCACAGGGAGCTCAGTTCCTTGCCAGTAACACCTAAGACAGTGGTGGTGAACCTATGGCACGCTGTCACCCCAGCAGGACTGTAGCTTCCAAGTAGTTTGAGAACGAAGCTCTTTGAAAATGGAGGTACCACTCTATTCCCCCTCCCCTAATTTGAACTGCATTTCTTTTCCCCAATTTGAACTGTATTTATTTATCTCCCCCCGCCCCCCACCAGTGGTGATTTTCTTGAGTCAAAATGAGTGTACCCCTAAACATTTTTTAAGAAAAAAACCCATTGAGTTATACCATAAAATTATTTATCAATGGAAAGATAATTTAATGAAGAATGTAACACAATAACTTTTATGAAGGATTATTTATTACAACAGCAGTCATAAAGAAGAAACGTGAAACACACAGGAAAAAAATGAGATATACAGGTTAAATTGCCGTGTTGGCACTTTGCGATAAATCAGTGGGTTTTGGGTTGCAGTTTGGGCTCTTAGTCTCTAAAAGGTTTGCTATCACTGACCTAAGACCTGCTACTCTTCACAGTTCCTTTGGGCTTTCAAGGTAATTAATCTTTAGAGTCATGAGGACATGGATTCCACACACACACCCCCAAATGAAGATGGAGACCCAGTTGAGAATAAGCAAGGATCACGGTGCTTTTCCCCCCCAGGAGACAGCCCATCTAACAAAGCGAGTCACCCTGGTTATTTCTCGGATTGTCATTCACAACACAACAGGTTTTTGCTTCAGTTGTTCATTTCCCAAATGGCTTTTTTTCTCCATTAGGGGTCAGGTCTCATATATAACTGCTGATGATTATGTCTGCTTTAAAATCAATAATGTTTCCCCAAACACAAAAAGTTCAATACTAGAAAAAGCAGCGTCGTTTCACGGGACATCCTGAATTTAGAGACGTCAGAGGCATTTTAAGCAAACAAGGCTGTTTGCCTCATTCAAGTCCCTGGCAAAGGTACAACAGGACATTGACATGAATTGTCAATAGTGCTGGAATTTGGCCATTCCCCAGGCCCCTGCTTAGGGAAGCAGAAAAAAAACCACAGTAGATCAAAATATCTACTAATATCAGCACAAAGGTTGCCTTCTGTTAATGTTGCAACTGACCGGGGACCAAAGTACAGGAGTTTGAGGGAATAAGAAAGGGGAGATTTCAAAATTCTTGGCACATCCTCATTTTTCAGGTCACCTTAAAAGGAGGTGGTGTTGTGGCAGTTTGCGTGGACATACAGTTCTGCAATCTCTCCCAGGATTTTCTAACCCAAACCCTTGCACATAACTGCTAAAACTGCCATCTTTCCCTTAAAAAACAACAACCGGCAAACCACCTTAAGATTTCGGCTACATGCACAGCACACACACTTTAAAAGTCCTAAGAACTGTAGTTTGCTAAAGGTGCTAGAAATTGTAGTTCTGTGAGAGTGCAAACTACAGTTCTTAAGATTTTTGCAGGGGGCTGGGGGGGGGGGGATTCCTGGCTAAGTCACACAACTTGACCTCCAAATTTGGGAGTCTGAGAGGATCAAGCGCAGTATCTGACCTTGCTTAATTTCTGGACATCCCTCATAATTAGGGATTCCTTAAATGTGGGTTTTGTTTAAGGGTGCAATCACAGCATACATTCAAAGCACAAATAGCTGACCTATGGACCTCTTTTTAAGCTTCACATGCTTATTCTGTATCAGCAGAAGAAAGAGTTTTCCTATTGAGTTGTGGACTTTCCTTCCTTGGAGGTTTTTAAGCAGAGGTTGGATGGCCATCAGTCATGGATGCTTTAGCTGAGATTCCTGCAGGGGGTTGGACTAAATGACCCTCAGGGTCCCTTCCAACTCTACAATTCTGTGATCCCATATTCTAGGTGACCTGGGTGTCCCATCTTTAAGACCCCCTTCATCCCTCCAGTGTAAATTTGTTCTGGATAAACCCTGTAGCAAGAGGTAGAATTGTATGACCTTTGCTACTGTATTTACTTTTCCTAAAGGCTTACATTACTTGCTGCCACTCCCACAGCTAGAACGATGCATGTGATTGAGTTATATGGTGGAAATATGAAGGCAAAAATGAAGAATGATCTCACGCATAACACTGAGCTTTCAAAGCTAGTTTGTTGACATTTAAAGGCATTATGTAGGGTATAAAAGGATGATCATGGGCAGATCGGCTGCATCCTTTCCCGATATTTCTGGAGCGAATGCAGCCATGTGATTCACTGCTCAATTGTGCTGCCTGATCCCATGTGCCACATTCTGAAGCTGACCCTGGGATTGTTTCTGGTCCAATTCTTGAGGTGCAATGGATATTCAAATGGTGGCCTTTGCACCACAGCTGGAAAACTGAAAGCTTCTTCCTAGCAGCCTCCACCATGGCATAATTGCTGCATTTTAAAAGAACTGCTGCTGTTGTATGCACAAATTGTGTTACCTGGAACCCCACCTCTGTCCAGGGAATGCTTACCACTTCTTTTTTGCCAAATCCTTTTTTGCCTCTCTCTCTCTCTCTCTCTCTCTCTCTCTCTCTCTCTCTCACACACACACACACACACACACTTTCACTTCCTTTACTGCTCCTGTGTCCTTTGTGAATACATTCACAGATCTCGGGAAATGTGTATAAATTCAAACTCCAGGGGCATCCTTCATACCCTCCAACATTTCCCTGATGAAAATAGGGATGTTGTATATAATAATAATAATAATAATAATTATGCCCCTGACTCAGTTGTCCCAGCCACTCTGGGCGGCTTCCAACATATATAAAAACATGAGGAGGTCATGGAAATAAGTGAATGAAAGATTGAAACTATTTGATGTGTTTTAAATTGTTTTTGTTTTGTTTTCTTAGTTTAAATTGTTTTTGTTAGTTTAGTGTTAGGTATTGTTTTTGTATTGTATTGTATTGTTTATTTTCTTTTTCTATGTAATGTCTAATTTGTTGGAAAGTAATAAATATTATGTTTTAAAAAACACAACATATATAAAAACATAATAAAACATTTGAAAACTTCCCTATACAGAGCTGCCTTCAGATGTATAGTTACTTATCTCCTTGGCTCGGGGGTCGCATGACTGCATACCCTCCAACATTTCTCCAATGTAAACATGGATATCTTAAGGCAAAGCAGGACATTCTGGGATGGAATCAGAAAGTGGGATGGCTTCAGTAAATCTGGGACTGTCCCTGGAAAACAGGGACACTTGGGAGGGTCTGCATCCTTTCAGTTTTCACTGGGGGAGGGGTGTGAGGGGAAGATTTTTGCAAACAATAAAATAAATCTCACACCGCTGTCCTTTTGAAGCTTTTCTTGCAGAGGTGTTTTTTTTCTTTTGCTGTATTGCATAACTCTAGTGTACGTCAAGCAAGTTATCGACACCGTTTCAAAAAGCACCTTTGCCATGCTTAGCTAGTGGGCAGGCAGGCAATGGGGAATCTGAAGTTGTTGTACTCCAGGCCCCATCAGCCCCAGCCAGCATGGCCAATGCTCAAGGATGATGGGAGTTGTAGTCTAGCAGTATTGGGTGGTCACAGATTCCCCCATCTTAGTGCACACCCTGGAAATGATATCTTTCAGCTTCTGCCTTCTGGAAGACGGTACAGTGTTATAAAGACTAGGACTAGCCATCTGAGATACAGTTTCTATCCAAAGGCGATTTGGGTTTTAAATGCAGTGTAAAGTAGTCCCTATGGGAGTATATTGTATTTAATACAGAGTTTTTAGGGGGCTAACCAGGCTGGGATAGCTGGCTTGTTGGTTTTGAATGTCTTTTTCAATTTCGTTGTTCTGTATGGGACAATGACAATGAAGATTATCGTATCGTATCTACATTTGACTTGGCTGTGGTAAGGTCTTCTGCATGGATGGAGAGTCGCCAACAATTATGAAGGGGAGTCTGGGCAGCACCTTTGGTTTCTGCAACAATCCTGGAGTGAATTTGGGTGACAACACGCCTCCTTTTTGCGGGACATGAAGATACTTACGAAAGCAGAAGGTTCCAGGCACTGAGTGTGGATCAAAGCAGAAAGGAAAGGTGGGTGTGTTTGGGACTTAGCAGCAATCCCAGTTGCCTAAGGCAGCAACGCATGTTGTTTGCAACTGATGAAATGAGCTTGCAAGCATTTGGTTCTCGCTGGCAGGGCCCCAGATTGTAAAAGAAGCTTTCTGCAGTCACTGATCAAGATAACAAGCTGGAAATGTTGAAATTTGCACAAAGGGCGGTTGAAAGCGAGGAAGGTACTGCCAGAGCCCAGTCCCACCTCCTTGACATCCTTTAAGCTGTGAAACCTCTATTTTTGTGCAAAATTTGTGCCTTGGGGAAGAAGGGTCCCTATGAATGGTAGAGATACCCTCGGCAGACATCCTACATGTGGACAGACCACTTTGCTCATACGAAGCATGACCCGAACTCTAGTCAGGAGAAATTCACCCCCAGTTATTATAACAGTTCCTCCTAACACCATGTCACTCATTCTGTACTGCACACAATTGTTGCCTATGGTAGAAAGCCCTTGCATGGAAAGATTATTACTATTGTCATTTTAAAAGTCAATATCAAGGCTGCACGAAACGTTCTGAAAGAAATATTCACTGGTTAAAAAGCAACAGCTGGACAACTTGCAACGAAAGCGACACACTTTCTTTGTGTTGCTTCTAGCAACAAAATGCAGTCTTTGCTCAAGGGTTTTCTGTGATAAGGTAGAGAGAGGAAACATAAGCATACAATTATCCAGTAATAAAACCCAAGCTTCTCTCATGCACACACACACACACACACACACACACACACACACACCACTCTCTACCTCGCTCTTCCATAAACTTTTCAGAACATGTATAACATTCATTCGCACGCACCGTTTGGATGGTTGTCTCTGCCTCTGCCAGAAATTCCTGTTGGTGAGGTGGCTGCAGCCAAACAGGTCGAACTCTGCAACTCTGCAACAATTTATACCTTCCTATGTCAGTTACTAGTTAACTTTTCTCCTAGTTTATTTTTCCTCCCCCTTCTCTTCCTCTTCTTCAAGCTGGTTGGAGAGGTGCAAATGCTCAGCAGCTCTGATTGGCTACTGAACAGTGACAGAGCTCAGCCAATAAAATGTGCCCCCCCTTTCATGTGCAAACAGAGCCTTCCTACCTATAGGATGTAACATACAGGCATTAGCAGGCAGGAGATAGCTGAGTTTTCGCAAGGAGGCTGACAGCACTATCATGACTAAAAAGCCAACCCCCCTGAATTCAAGCATGCATATTCCTAACTGCAGCCTTTTAAAATTCTGCTCCTAGGTACATGTTTGTATACAGGTCATTTCAAAAGGCTCTTCCATTTATGCATTAGCATGAAACTTCTCTGTAGAAGGTTGCGTAGGGTTGCTATTTTGACAAGCCTTGGTGGGATTTTTTTCCTCTCTGGACAGATGGCCAGAATGAAAAGAGGCAAAGGAACGATGCATTTCCAGTGAAGCTGTTTTTAATTTTTGCAACAAACCCAGGTAATGTCATAGGCCACATGCACACTATAGATTTAAAGCCCCGTGATACCAATTTAAAGAGTCATAAAGGTAAAGGGACCCCTGACCATTAGGTCCAGTTGTGGACGACTCTGGGGTTGTGGCACTCATCTCGCTTTATTGGCCGAGGGAGCTGGTGTACAGCTTCCGGGTCATGTGGCCAGCATGATGAAGCTGCTTCTGGTGAACCAGAGCAGCGCACAGAAACGCCGTTTACCTTCCCACCAGAGCGGTATCTATTTATCTACTTGCACTTTGACGTGCTTTCGAACTGCTAGGTTGGCAGGAGCAGGGACCAAGCAACGGGGGCTCACCCCGTCGCGGGGATTTGAACCACCGACCTTCTGATCGGCAAGTCCTAGGCTGTGTGGTTTAACCCACAGCGCCACCCACATCCCATTTAAAGAGTCATGGCTTCCCCTAAAGAATTCTGGGAGCTGTGGCTTTTAAACGTGCTGAGAATTGCTAGGAGACCCCTGTTCCTCACACAGAACTAAAACTACCTGAATGGTTTTACAGTCAATTCCTCTTCCCAGAGAACATTGTTTTAAACTTCCAAAGAGTAGTTTTGCTTAAACAACAACAACAACAACAACAGTAATTTATTTATACCCCGCCCATCTGGCTGGGTTTCCGCAGCCACTCAGGGCAGCTCCCAACAGATTAAAAACAGAATAAAACATCAAACTTTAAAAACTTCCCTAAACAGGGATGCCTATTGGTTTCCTTGTTTATTTCCTTGACATCTGATGGGAGGGCATTCCACGGGGCATACTGATGAACACCCAGCCCAAACCCCCTGATGATCTCTCCCAGCGGCTTCATATAGATGTTAAAAAGCATGGGGGAAAGGACAGAACCCTGAGGCATCCCACAAGTGAGAGCCCAGGGGTCTGAACACTCATCCCCCAACACCACTTTCTGGACACGGCCCAGGAGGAAGGAGAGGAACCACTGTATAACAGTGCCCCCAGCTCCCAGCCCCTCTAGCCGGTCTCAGGAAAGACTCTTTGCCTAAGCAGAGAGGAATTTAGGGTTGTTGTTGTTGTTGTTGTTTTGTAACAGTGTAGGACTGTATAGTGAAAGGCAAGCAAGAAGTCAAATCAAATAAATAACAACAACAACACTATTGTGACTTGTGATGTGTAAAATCGCACAATTAATTGGCACTTCCCAGTGTATGCTCATTTAGTGAAATACATGCACATTTTGGGGAAATGCAATTCACTCACAACAGGTGGAGAAAATATATTTGGATCTCTCACAAGAGTTTTGTTAAAACAGTGTAGCTATTGCATAAGGGCTTTTATTTTCTGCAAGGCTTCTGTGCGCTACAAGCAGCTCCCATTGATTATTTGCAATTCACTGGACAGCCAGGAGCCCTGGAGATTGTTTAGCCAGCCTGTTCTCAAACACAGCCTAAGTGCTCAGTGGCCTTGAACATTAGACCCCATTTCCATCGAGAGATGCAATGTTTGCTAGAACACTGATGGTCCTCTCCCCATGCTTAGTCAAGAGGCAGAACTTTCAGCTGTCATGTGAACTACTGGCTTCAAGTGACATGAAAGAAACAGCAATGTTTATTCATTCCTGTCTACAAAGACTTTTATTTATTAGATTTATATCCAAATCTTCCTCCAAGAAGAGCCCAGCGCAGCAAACACACAAAAGATAAAACTACCAAAGCATCTAAAAACATGGCGGGACGGGGACACAATTTAAATCATGTGTTTCATCTTCTACATGAAATTAGCGGACTGTGGACATGCTTAACTGTGGCTGATTGTGCCTTATATCCTTTCATATGCAATTAAACCAGCAAGTTATTGGAGAGATGTGGGTGTGTCTGTTCCATCTCAGGTGTAAGCAGCCATTTCACAATCAAAATGATACTTTCATCTTTAAAGACGCTTCTGTGTATTCAAGTCCAAGAAGACATGTTGCATGGTCACTGCAATTCTCTGGGAGTGCAGGAAACCTGCAGACTATGGCACTGGGTGTGGAATTTCAGGGAGGGATTATTACAGTGGAACCTTGGTTCTCGAACGGCTTATTTGACGAACAATTCACTCCTGAACGCCAAAAACCCGGAAGTGTTACAGTTTTTGAACATTTTTCGGAAGCCGAACATCTGATGCAGCTGTCAACTATTGTTTCCGGGGCAAAAACTAATCCATTCAAAAGTATGTATTCCGACAAGGATTACAAACTCAAATTGAGATTACAAACTCAAACAGAGATGACAAACTCAAACTCATAAGGATATGTATAACACAATAATTCGTTACAGAATTAGAGATAAGAGTTTATGAACAGAGGTAAGTTCATGTTAGTCCATAGTCAGATTTGACGTGATGATCTTAGTTTCAATCATTGAGCAGAAGTCAGAAGTCAATTATGGATCGGAAGCCAGGACAGGGCCCTGTTTTGATGTATTCACCTTCATCAGCTAAGTGTGGGTAGATCAACGTGTATCTTGAGTTTGTAATCCTTGTCAGAATACATACTTTTGAATGGATTAGTTTTTGTTACAATTGACTATTGATTTGCGAGTAGGGACCACTCCCACTATTGAAACTTATCTTGGCCAGAGTTCTTGGTGTGCTTTTTTCTTAATAACAAGAACTCCAACTTATTTAACATTGTTTCCGGGATGCCTGCGCCAATCAGAAGCTGCACCTTGGTTTTCGAATGTTTCGGGAGTCGAACGGAATTCCGGAACAGATTAAGTTCGAGAACCAAGGTTCCACTGTATTTAAAAACAGCCCACCTTCTTGCCCTTGTGGCAATTTAGATACGCATGCAACTTAAAGAGATGGCTTAAAATTCCTGATGGCTAGGGTTTCGACTTCAGTGTCCTGCATAACAGTATCCTTTTTTCTACGTCTAGCACAACCAGAATAAATTATGCAAAATGGTAAAGTTTGCATAGATCTAAATTTTCTTAATTATGTGGCTGAGTTCAGTTTTTCTCAGTGGTGAATCTGGCACCTAAATTTTAAATGCTTTCCTACAAAGCATACACGGTTCTGCCTATTTGGTGAGTATTGGTTTAAACCATGAGTCACCAACACATGTTTCTTGGCACTCTCAAACACTCCCATGTTGGTGTGCAATGCCTCTGCCTAAGAATTTTGACTTTCTTCATCATGCTTCTCCTTTGAAGAGCCACCACACCCCAGCAGGAAAGACAAGCCACAGAGGGAGGTATGAATAGCTGGAGGAAAAGAACAACAGGACTACTAACTTGGCTTCCTGGAGTGAGCGCTTATGAAGACTTTAATTGTCACCCTAAGGGAGAGCAGCATGCCAGGACAAATTAATCCCGCCCGTTAACGTCTAAATGCACAGCCAGGACTGAAAATCATCAAATTCAGGAGGGGGGGAAGTGTGATGGCATAGAACAAGACATTTCCAAAAAGCATAGTGACAAATTGCCCCAACATTCTTCTTCCCTGCTCACCTGATTGGGTTGCTCCAGCCATTCTGGGTGGCTTCCAACATATATAAAACATTAAACATAAAAAAACTCCCCTCTACAGAGCTGCCTTCAGATGTCTTCTAAAGGTTGCATAGCTACTTATCTCCTTGGCTCAGGGGTTGTATAACTCCATACCCTCCAACATTTCTCCAGTGAAAATAGGGACATTCTAAGGAAAAGCGGAACATTCTGAGATCAAATCAAAAACTGAGATGGCTTCTGTAAATCCAAGACTGTCCCTGGAAAATAGGGACACTTGGAGACTCTGGTATATGGGAAATTCATAATTAGAGAATCACCAATGAGCAGGTTTACTTGCTTGTCACCTCACAAGGCAAGCTAGCTCTCCTCAGAATGAAATGTTTTCCAGTTTGTTCTTTGATATCACATAGGACTTTGTAGTGAGCTGTTGGCCCACCTAGCTCAGCTCTGTCTAAAAGTGACTGGCAAGGAGGCCAGGATTTCAGACAGGAAAAATTCCCAGCCCTACCTGAACCTGGGACATACTACATATGAAGCAGATACTCTTGCCACCAAGCTAAAACCCCTTCTTCTTGTCTGCTGTCTCCTAGTCCAGTCAACATGCAGACAAAATCTCAGCTATGCCAGAGAAGGCTCCCAGCTCCCAGAGCAGCAGTCTGTGATTCACAGAAAGTCTACCTTAATGGCTATTTGTGAGGTGGAGAAATAATATTGTACATGCCTGTCTGTGCACGTGAAAGCAGAGTGTCAGCGGAGCATAGAAAGTGTGCACCTGGCCTGCTCAGTGTTAAAGTACTACTCTGATCTAGTTTACTATTAATATGAAGCTTTTCCCATTCCCTCATAACGTGGCTCTCACCTTGCTGTGTCCTCTTGCCCCTTGCAAATCTGTTTCAAAGTCCATTAGCCTCTGCTGCTATTAATTAATAATCACAATTGCTCTTCATTAATGTGGCCTTTCTCATGCCAAACCTCTACTCCATCTCACACCTTTGAGAGCAGCCGATTAAAAGTACATATCTGAAAATGGCAGACCCTAGCAATTGGCTAGATGCAAGTTCCGACTCATCTCAGGTGGATGTTGCTGCAGGCAAATTCTTCTCTCTGCGCAGCTCATGAGCTGTGCTTTGCAAAATTTGCAACCAACTCTGCAATTAATAGTTAAAGGCTTCCCAGCTGATGGAAGAATTCCATGCTCCCACTACAGAGCAATGACCAAGAAGTCAGGAACTGAGAAGTAAGAACTTGGGAGAAATTGCAAGTTAGTAAATCATCATCATCATCTGAAGTCAACTGTTAAATAGTAAGAGGAATGTCATCCAGACAAGGTGTGGGGCCCCTCTGGTTGAGATCATCAATCAGTCCCTTGGCACGGGGACTTTCCCAGGGGAGTTGAAGGAAGCAGTGGTGCCTCCGCTCTTAAAGAAAACATCTCTAGATCCTTTAAGGTAAAGGGACCCCTGACCATTAGGTCCAGTCGTGACCAACTCTGGGGTTGCGGCGCTCATCTTGCTTTATTGGCCGAGGGAGCCAGTGTACAGCTTCTGGGTCATGTGGCCAGCATGACTAAGCTGCTTCTGATGAACCAGAGCAGCGCACAGAAATGCCGTTTACCTTCCCGCCAGAGCAGTACCTATTTATCTACTTGCACTTTGATGTGCTTTCGAACTGCTAGGTTGGCAGGAGCAGGGACCAAGCAACGGGAGCTCACCCCGTTGCGGGGATTCGAACCGCCGAGCTTCTGACCGGCAAGTCCTAGACTCTGTGGTTTAACCCACAGCGCCACCCGTGTCCCTCTAGATCCTTTAGATCTATCCAATTACCACCCGGTTTTGAATCTTCCGTAATTGAGAGAGCAGTTGCCAAACAGCTTGGTAGGCTTCTGGATGAAACCTCGGCTCTGGACCCATTTCAGTCTGGCTTTCGCCCTGGTTATGGGACCAAGACAGCTTTGGTCACCCTAACAGATGATTTCCGTAGACAGCTGGATCGAGGCAGGTTGGGACTGCTGATTCTCTTAGATCTGTCAGCAGCCTTCAACATGGTCGATCACAAACTTTAGGACCACTGCCTTGCCAATGTGGGGATTCAGGGCACAGTCCAACAATGGCTGAGCTCCTTTATCTCTGGTCGGGGACAGAGAGTGGCGCTAGGGAGGGAGTTGTCGCCGCGACACTCCTTGGTGTGTAGAGTCCCACAGGGCACAATCCTTTCCCCGATGCTTTTTAATATCTTTATGCGCCCCCTTGCCCAGATTGTCTGGAGCTTTGGGCTGTGTAGTCATCAATATGCTGATGACACCCAGCTTTATCCATTGATGGATGGCCGCCCTGTCTCGGCCCCGGACACACTGACCAGATGCTTGGAAGCTGTGGCTGGATGGCTGCGTGGGAGTTAAATATTTCGAAGACAGAGGTCCTCTGGTTGGGTTGGGACAACATGAGGTTGGGGGGCCAACTCCCATCTCTTGCAGGGGCTCAATTAGTGCCAGCGCCTTTTGTCAAGAGCTTGGGTGTAACCTTTGATGCCTCCCTTTCCATGGAGGCGCAGGTTGCAGCCACAGCAAAGGTGGCATTTTACCGTCTCCGCCGTATTAAGCAGTTGGTCCCTTACCTTTCTCACCCTGATCTGGCCACAGTGATCCATGCGATGGTCACCTCCAGGCTTGATTATTGTAACTTGCTCTACACGGGGATGCCCTTGAAGCTGACCCAGAAACTCCAGCAGGTGCAGAATGCTGCAGTGAGGCTCTTTACGAGGTCCTTGCCGAGGGATCCCATTCATCCAGTGCTTTAACTACTGCACTGGCTCCCGGTGGAGTACAGGGTCAGATTTAAGGTGCTGGTTTTGACCTTTAAAGCCCTATGCAGCCTAGGACCCACCTCTCCTGGTATGCCTTGCAGAGGACCTTAAGGTCTACAAATGACAACATTTTGGAGGTCCCAGGTCACAAGGTGGTTAGATTGGTCTCAGCTAGGGCCAGGGGCTTTTCAGTACTGGCCCCGACTTGGTGGAATGCTATGTCACAAGAGACTAGGGCCCTGAGGGACTTGACATCTTTCCGCAGGGCCTGCAAAACAGAGCTGTTCCGCCTGGCCTTTGGTTTGGACTCAGTCTGACCCTTATGTTTCCCTCCCCTTATGGTCTTGATTTATCGGCTACTTTTAAAATGAGGCTGCATTTTAAATTGCATTTTAACCTGTATTTTAAATTGTTTCTTCTCCCCCCCCCCAATTATGTTTTTACTATGATTTTATTGGTGTTAGCCGCCGTGAGCCCGGCTCTGGCTGGGGAGGGTGGAGTACAAATAAAACTACTTCTTCTTCTTCTTCTTCTTCTTCTTCTTCTTCTTCTTCTTCTTCTTCTTCTCATGGAGCAGGTAGAAGGGCCTCAGAGAACATTGTATTTTATATGGACAATTTCTCATCCTTCCAAAAAAAATCCCTAAAAGAACAAAATTTCTCCTTGCTCGAACTTCAGTTAGCCCTTTGGAAACCAGTGCTATATGGAGAACTAATGAAAAGACATTTGGAAAAGTTGTCTGTATCTGTTTCATATTTGTATCAAATATTTTCTGTTCTTCATAGCTAAGATCTGTTCAGCAGGGGTGGCCCTACCATTGGGTAGAGTGAGACAGCAGCCTCAACCAGCAGATGCAGTGAGCGGTGGGGGAACAGCAACAACAGCTACAGCTGTGTGTGTCACATGGCTAAACTGCTGCCCTCCACTGGAGTAGAGGATGCTGCTCCAGAACCAGTGTTAAGTAAGAGTCAGCAGCCCTTTGCCTCAGGCGGTAAAATGTCTTGGACCATGCCTGGCCATTGAGAGAAATACAACCTAACCCCACCTTATAAGGGGCAGTCTTATAGGCCACAGGGGGGCAGAAGCTAAATCTGGATTTACTGGTAAGATTTCTGGGTGATTTCTGGGCAATTCCTGGGCTCAGAATTCTTTAATTTGAAAAGTGTGCCTTTTGGACTTCAAAGCGGAACAGGTCCTGTCAGCTTGAAGACTCCCCCATACAAGTGTTTGGCTTCCCATCTCTAAAATTCTTGTACCATCACAACGTAGCACTTAATGAGAGTGCCTGGTTATATGCGTGACACAGCAATTCCATCAGTAACTACTGGTTGCCGTTCTGTTTTGGCTTTCACCATGGAATTTATAGAATTCACCATGGCTTGGATTTTGTTTAAAGGTCTTACCGTAATGCTAAGAATATGAACAGAGGCTTTGATTGGACTTTTTATTATTTTAAATACAGCAATACCATCGGCCCATGAAAATGTCACCCTTATCCAATTTTTTTTTTAATATCAGTTTCCCACTTCCTAAAAGCACAGGGGTAAAAGAGTTGGGCTATAGAGGAAATTCATGAATAAGAACACTGACACAATTTGTTCTCATCACTTTATTGTTTTTTGGGGAAAAACCACCCTCATTAAACCAAATCATTTAAATCCCCAGCTATTAAAACACCAGAGTTCTCCCCTTCCTTTGCAACTTGGTCTCCCTAGGGGATCAGCTCTGCGAGATTTCAAAATGGGTTTATCAAGTGCCACGTGGAACATTTGCAATCATCATCAGACTTGTGTTATCATTTTCAGGGTCCGAATGATCCTCTTTTGAGACTACGTTCTCCCTGTGGGTAGCATCTACCTCTGTTGACAAAAAAACCATGTGAAATAAGAGCATTCTGCTTGGAGGTTTCCAGACAGCCCCTCAGCCAACACTCTCCTGTACTACAGCATCCCCTTGTGGCTGGTTTCTGCCAGGTGGAAGCAGACTGGCTTTATGCAATGGTAAAGGGGGGTTGTAAAAACAGTATCTTTGGTTGCATTCACTGGCGATTTCATTTTGTGATTGGAGTTCAGAAAAGCAGTATTTTTTTTTTTTAAAAAATCAAATCATGTTGGGGGGCTAGAGCCCTAAAATCAGAACATCTGATACAAATTTCTGTATGAAGCAAAAAAAATTATCCCTCCTCCCAACACTTATAAACAGGCCAGGTTTACAAATAGGGTAGTCCAAAAGCAAATGAAGTTTATCTGTAAACCAACTTTTCCATTAGTATTAGTCTTGTCTGTTGATACAGATGCAAGTCGTGTGTGTGTGTGACCATGTAGCTGTGTTGCCAGCCGAAAACCCTTCATTTGACAGTCCTTCATGTGGCATGCAGGTGAGCGCATGGCATTCAAAAGCCTCTTAGCACATGAGTCGGCTTGATGATATTACTTAGGATTTATGCAATTTGTTTCAAGCATTCGGAACAGTTCACATTCTGTTATCTAGCCCTGTAAGGTATGCCAGAAGTGAGACCCACACACTTAGGGTATCTAGTTTGCCCAATCAATAATCAATTTATTAGATTTTTTTTAACCCACTCTTCCAACAGGCTCCCATTTTGCCTAATATAACCATTTTGTAAGACGCCAACCAGAAGTAAGGTTTGAAAGTGGGGAGCTCCTGGTTCATGCTCATAGCCAGGGCACAAGGACACTTGCGGTCGCTGATGTGTAGAATCTTCATGTATGTTACTACGAGAGGCCTGTACCACATCAGCAAAAGCTCAAAAACTGGCACCAAGTTGGTGCACATGGTATGTGATACATGCAGCATGGAGCTTGCAAAAACAAAAACTGCATCGTTTTAGGCAGACTGTACATGGCACTGCAACGCTGAAATCAGCCCTCAGCGACTCTATCCATGCTTGGGTCCACTGCTTCTGCAGAGTTTGGTTTCATTACAAATCCATAAACAAAGCTGAAACTATCCTGAGCTGAGTTCTCTCACGCCGCATGGTGAAAATAAGGGACCCTGTATCATCCTGACAACTGGAAAGGACAATTTAACCGCACAAGAAGAAATCTGCTGGAAAACAGCGCTGCAGCAGCTCTTACAAGAAAACAGCTTGTTTTCCTTGTGGCTCTTTACACAAATTTGGATCGTTCCACAGATTTCTGCTAAGTGCCAGGCATGCAACTAACCATGGAAGTGAGACATCCATATGCAACCATCAATGGACAGGCTATTTTCCAGGACAGCAGAGTCAAAAAAAGATCCCTGACCCAAAAAGTCTACAACTAATTCGCAGAGGGATAGAGGTAGTGCTTAGAAATCTGCCATTTCCAAGGATGATCTTCCTTATAGGCAGCTTTCAACTAACACGGCAGTAGCTCCCATTTCACAGCTTTGCTTTTGGGATCTCTGCATTCTTCCACCCTTTCCTTCAGCTTTGTTTCATATGGTGGCTATAGCCTCCTTGGGGTGCGTAGGCTTCAGGCAAGTGTAGGACACAGCTCCTTTTGTTTTTATATTAGAAACGATTGGCTCCCTGACACCTTTGCCCCTGTGTTGCTTGAGCACCAGACATACTTGGCAGCAAAGTAGAGGAGTCCTCCCTTCTTCATTCCTTCCTTAGGCCCTGAGGACTGAACACACCATTCCATTGCCACAATGTGGAGCTTATGAGAAACACACTAAATGCCACCAGCGACTGAATAATTAGGCTGTGTGTGTGTGTCCATTTGGACAGCGGCCATTGCTCTGCCTCGTTTTGGCCCACTCCGTTTCTAAGGATTAGATTGCCAGTAGAATTAAGGGCCTGAGGAGACATAAACACTTCACATCACCCCTAGGGCTGGGCGATATCAGCTTTTCAGCATCACAATGTATCACCAGCCAAACATCGCGATAATGTGATACATTGCAATGTTGAAAAGCGGAGAGAGGAAAGAGCTGCGTCGGCCCCGTGAAGCGATGGGGTGAAATCGCCTCAGCTCCCTTGGCAGGAGCAGTGGTGGTTTCACTCTGGCACCTCGTGGGGTGTTCGTTCCTCCCTCCATGCGCCGGGCACTCATGAGTGGTGGTGGTTTCACTTGCGATACACCACTGGGTGAAGGTGCCACCGTGCTCTGGCCCTCAAGAGCAATATTGATACATTGCTCAGGCCTAATCACTCCATTCTCTTCTATAATTTAAATCAGGATGTTGCGAGACTACAACACCCACCATCGTTGGCTACTGGTTATGCTGGCTGATGACTCAGACAGCAACTGTAGGGCCACAGGTTCCCCACCCACTGTTTTAAGTAGGCCTCGAGGAAGCTCCCTCACATTTCTGAGGAATATATGGGGCGTATATTTTTAATGTCACCTCTGTATTGCTGTGAAGAACTTGAAGCTACTGGACTCCCCCTTTCCCTTTTCTGAATAAAGTGAGGATTCAGCAGCACAATGCCACATGAGCTAAGCCAAGCCCTGTAAAGGGAAGGAGGATTTATTTATTTTTAATAAATCTATTTGGATGACTTGCTAGAAAGAAAGAAAGAAAGAAAGAAAGAAAGAAAGAAAGAAAGAAAGAAAGAAAGAATTTAGTTCCAGACGAGCTCTCATTTAAAGAAAACAATGTGCAATTGATTTCTGAGAAGAGAAAGGAAAACACAGGCAAGGGGAAATCTTGCTGTTCTAGAGATTATGAAAGGTTCAAAGAGAGGCTTGGAAAAGCTGCTCAGAAACTGTGTATGTAGTCTAGTTAAGGCACTTAATGGCTTGTGAAGGAGTCAGTTTCCAAGGAAAAGTCAGATGGAGCTTGGGTTGACTAGCACCTGTGGCAAGAGTTTGCAGAAGAAATGAGAGGAAGCAGGAAGGCAGGACAATTTCTAGATAGTGCTCAGCTTCTGAGCAGCCTCTTTAAGTGACCCTTGGTTAGCTTCCAACGAAAGCAAGCGATTGACGGAGGTGGGAAACTGGAGAAAAACACCTCCCATTATTCCCACCTTGAGAAGAATGTAACAAGGTGTAGAAAGAACGGAGAGCAAGGAGTGTTTGGTAAGAGCACAATTATCACCCAATCTCTCTGTCTAGGGCCATAGTGGCAACCAAGACTTCTGGCCACTGTGAAGGCTTTCCTTGTGCAAGGAGACAAATTCAAATTGTGCAATGGTACCTAGTGTACAGTGGTACCTCAGGTTACATACGCTCCAGGTTACAGACTCCGCTAACCCAGGAATATTACCTTGGGTTAAGAACTTTGCTTCAGGATGAGAACAGAAATTGTGCTCTGGCGGCAGCTGGAGGCCCCATTAGCTAAAGTGGTGCTTCAGGTTAGGAACAGTTTCAGGTTAAGAACGGACCTCCGGGACTAATTAAGTACTTAACCCGAGGTATCACTGTATTTGGAACTGCTGCACTCCTGTGAGATGACTGTACCACATCAGCAAAAGCACATAAACTGGCTCCAAGTAAAAGCAGTGTAGATACTGATCTATTAGTAATAGGAAGATATCCTGTCTGCTGTATGCCCATGATGTGGTGCTCCTATCACTCTCCCAATTAGGTCGTAATAATCTGCTCACAGCTTTCAGCTCGTATTGCAAGTGAGAAGAACTTGTCGTGAATTACTCAAATACCAAAATTTTGGTCTTTGGGAAGCGTAGCCCCAGTTTCAAATGGAAAATGGACCAACAGAATCTCGAGCAGATACGCTCCTTTAGGTATCTGGAAGTTCTTTTCACTGAGACACTATAATGGGAGGGGCATATCGAGGCTGCGAAACTCAAAGTGCAGAAAGCTTGTGGGGCATTAATGAAATTCTATTTTACATTGGATTGCCAGTTACTAGAACCTGTGTTGAAAATCTTTGCCAGTAAAGTGGTTTCCCAGATGCTCCACGGAGTAGCGATATGGGACATGGATCCAAATGCTAACAAAGCCTTAGAAATAGTGCAGAACAAATTCCTCAGGAAAGTGCTCTCGCTCCCCAATGGGACTCCAGCTGCTCTTCTCCGCATGGAAACGGACGTGACAACAATATGGGCTAGAACTGGTTATCTGTGTCTAAACTATGTGAAAAGACTCCAGTCTCTTTTGGAGGAGAGATTCCCCACTATGTCCCACACAGAACAGGAACAGACTAAATGTTGAAAGGATGGCATCCAACATCTCTTGACCCAATACCAATTACAATATCTTCAGGTGATCATGAAGATGGATAAGAGGCACTTAAGAGATTGTCTCTTCAGGTCTGATGCAGAATGGGATTTAACCACAATTGCCTCTACCCAAAGTTCACCAGGGTTCCCACTTATCAAAATGGAGCACATCCGAGCTAGATATCTGACAAGGCTCCTACTTGCCGCACTAAGAATTGTTTTTACAGAATTACGATTCCAATCGATGCCCTCAGCGGTGGTGGGTGGTCGGTACAGCAAAGTACAGTACATGGAGAGACTTTGTCTCTGTGGGCAACCTTGCGTAGAGGATCTGTACCACTATATATTGCAATGCCCGCTATATATAGAACCAAGAGACCGATTTATAAAACCCCTGCTTACGAATGGAACACACTCAAACAGGGTGGAAAGGGTGAAATGGCTGCTGAGTGATACTGATGACTTTGTAACTTATAAAGCAGCACTGTATGCATTGGCAGCTAAGAAGATCAGGAGAAAAGAACTAGATAAAACAGTGGTCAATTGCCAAGGAGATTCGGACATTTAAGCTGGCCACATTCTACTTGAGAACCCCCTGCTATTCTATCGTACCCAACAAATGATTTCTAGGAGACGCAGCTGTGGTTTATTGTATTTGCAGTGCCTGATGTTTTTATGGTTTTTATAGTTATTGTTGCTTTTCTTTTTGTTCCCTTTGTGAATGATGCTATGGCCTTTGGCTAGTGCAATAAAGTTTATGATGATGATGTAGATACTGCTAGTGGGCGAGGCGCTTGGTGAAAGAATGACATAACAAACAAAACAGATATTAAGACAAAGGTGAAAATTTTCCTGGAAAATTATCTTGGTTTTGATATAGGCTAAAGCTGTTTACAAAATAGTTCTGTCTTCTAAAAAGACAACAGGAGTTCAATAGGAGTTCTCATTGAAGGGAAAGTGTCTCTTAAAAATAGTTTATTGTAGAGGATATAAAGCTATTTTAAAGAGTCTATAAAAAGTAACACCTTTGCAATCTTCATCCCATTGTCGAGCTTTGTGCTGTCCTATTATATATCTGCCGAGACAACCAAGAAATGAGCAGAAGCCCCATGTGACACAGCTATTGCTGGACTGCACTATTTCTGACTCCTCGTGCATCTCCCCCTTTTCGCCTTGCACCAGGGATGGGGATTGGATCCAGCTGGCGGGTTGGATCCTGACCTTCCCCACTGGCCAAGTTTCATAGGTGGGCAGGGCCACCTTATCACTTGACATCACTCAATGTCAAAATGACACCAGGCGATCCATCTTCACCACCCTGGTGCATGGTGCTTTGAAGCCCCAGCAAGTGGCCAATCATCGGGCCTTCAAAGCAACCTGCATGATTCTCTGCAAACACCACCAACCAGCTGAGTGTTGGCGCTTGCACCATGCATGGGGCTTCGCAGGTGCTGCTAGTCAGCTTACCCTCCCCACTAACCCAGCCCCATCGTTACTTGCCCCACACCAGACCCAATATGGGATGGCCAAAGCTGCCTTGAGTCTGGGCCAGGGGAAAGGTGGGGTACATCACCATTGCCTACATCCCCATCATCACCACCATCATGGAGGCATGGGGAGAGGGGGGCTAATTAGGCCATATGCCCTCCCAACCCGTAGAAAACTAGCGTCTTAGGGGCAGGGGAAGGCTCATCTACAGCATTTTCCTCAACATGTTTGTCTCGTGCATTTCATGGGAAGCCTTCAGCCTCTGCCCTGGCAGTCTGGGAACAGACCTCACCCAGGGGCTTCCGGTTCCTCTGTCGGGATTCACAGAATGCTGTGAGAGATAGTAAGTCTGCAGGCTTGAGTTTGCTAGCTGATACAATCAGCCTGCAATACTTTCTATGGAAGTGCTGGGTCAGCGGTAATGTGCTGACAGTTGATTGGCTGTCCTCGGTTTAAAAGGGAAACCCATCCAGCAGTAAAGGGGTGGTGTAGAAGAGTGTGGTCAGAGAGGGAGAGATAGAAAGGTCTTCCTATTTGCCTTAAGGTGCAGCCAGGTACTCTGTTTGACTGTACGAACTGCTCGTGTATTATAGCCTGCAGATATTTGTATATATAGCTCACAATAAATACACTGCACTGAAGAACCTGGAACTCTGAGCATTTCTGCTAAAGCGCCGCGGAGAATTCGCGACACCCTCCGCTCCAGCTCTTCGTACACCTGAGGAGTCAAAGCAGCTTGGGATTGATGTTTACCCTGAGACTTGAAAACATCCCCACGTGCCTGACCAGGTTGGGCTCCACCACGAAGGCCCGCTCGCCCTTGGTGCGCAGCAGCGAGTACAGGGCCGTGTCTTTGGCAAAACCCGACCGGCAGCGCAGCTTCTTCAGGTAGCCCAGCGCACGGCGGGCAGAAGGGGCAGAGAACAGCATGGCAGGGGTGCAGCACTCGGTGGCAGGCACGACGTTGTAGAGGGGCGGGGCCAGGCGGCGCAGCTCCAGGAGGTAGTGACGCCCAACCAGCTCCACCAGCAGCATGCTGTACAGGGCGAAAAACAGAGCGATGGGCCAGCTGGGGCCGGGGCGGCCGGCCGCCCAGGCATACGCGAACCCCAGCAGCGAGCCGCCCAGCATGCCCACTCCGAGCCACTCCAGGATCCTCATGGGCTCCGGGTTGAGGTAGCGCTGCAGTCTCTCGGGGTGGTAGAGCTTCATGTAGAGGGCGTCCCGGAGGTGGGGCTTGGAGAAGCGGACCTGTAATAGGTGGTTCAGCACCGGGAAGATCTCATCCTCTGGGACGGCATCGTCTTCCACCAGCAGCACGTGTTCCGGGTCGTAGTCCTGCAGCGACTTCTCCAGGCAGTAGGCGTAATCCCGCTTCTCCTTCTCAAACTGGTTCAGTGACGGCTCTGGAGCCTGCCGGCTGCCGTAGCGGTTCGCCACGCCAAAGAAGCCGGCCAGCAGCTGGGCGTCCGCGTGGGTGCTGGGGTCGGCCTCCACGTTGCAGAGCAAGATCTGGTGGCGCCGGCAAGGGGCCCCGCACTGGCGGAGCAGGCTGTGGAAGCGAGACGCCACCTGGAGGACGTAGTGGAACTCGGGGTGCCGCTGCACGGTTATGATGGTGATGAGCAAGCCCGTCCGGCGGGCCTCGCCGGGCGCCGGCTCAGAGGCATTGTGCACCCGCAGCCTCTCAAAGTAGTGGAGGGCTCTCAGGCCGTCCTCCTGGTTCTGCTGGAGGAAGTCTTGGCTCATGGGGCTCAGGTACCAGCGCCGCAGGTAGTAGTAAGAGTGAAGGAGGCGGTGGCAAGTCAGGGGCGCCAGCACGACGAACGTCACCGCCGTCAAGGCAAGGAGCTGCAGGAAGGGGCTGGACCAGCGGCACAGCCTCCCACAAGGCTGCAGTCCTCGCGGCAGCATGGCGGCCACTTCCAGGGGGTCCCGGGCTCATGCCTCAGGCCATTCCTCGGGGCTGGAGGGTCTTCCGGTTGGGTAACGGAGCTGAATTGCTAGGGTCAGATCTGTGAAAAGAGGAGGGGGAGGGGGGAGAAACAACATTTGTGGACTGTGTCGCATCAGATCAGGCTGATTCAGAAGTGAAGGTACAAAAAGACGAGGGGCCACCACAATCTCTGCTGAGAAGCCAGGCTGCAGCAGAGGAAGGAAGAAAAGGAGTGCAAGGCCACTCTGTTGCTCCAGCTGAGACCCCAGCTGTTTTCCATGCCTCCACTCTGAGCTTTCCCACCCCAGTTGCCTATTAAAAGAGCCTGTCACCAAAACCTTGCATCTGAGTTTGTTTATGCCAGGCATAGGCAAACTCGGTCCTCCAGATGTTTTGGGACTACAACTCCCATGATCCCTAGCTAACAGGACCAGCGGTCAGGGATGATGGGAACTTTAGTCCTGAAACATCTGGAGGGCCGAGTTTGCCTATGTCTGGTTTATGCTCTCTATTTTCTCAGTACGTTTTTCTGTTATTTATTTTATTTGCTTATTTCATGAAATTTATTATACTGCTTGCTTGTAGGATACAACCTCAAAGCAGTTCACAAAAAAAGATAAAACAATAAGATGACCACTAAAAAAAAAATGCACAGCTATAATTTTAAACATACAAAAACAGATCAGAATAGACCAAACTCATACAAACTTTCTAAACATCTGGGTAGGCTTGCCGAAATTAGCAATGTCTTCAGCAGGGACCAAAAAGAATAGTGAAGGCACCAGCCTGATATCTATAGGCAGGGAGTTATAAAGTGCTACTGCAGCCGTACTGAATGACTCAGTTCTTACGGTGCGGGTATTGTGTGGATCCTATAAAAGTGTGAGTTCCACCAATCAAAGTGGGCGCGTGAGAACATCTGGGGTAAGGCAATCTTTTGCGCTACACCTTTTAAGATTAAACATCTGAGGCTGCTGGCTGTCCTGTTTGTAGTGATCCCCCCCCCAATCGTTTTTATGTAAATGTAAATTTATAACAATACCAAGTACACATCCGTATATAGCGATTACTCTGAATCCTGAGACTTCCCACCATCCCTTCCATGGGTCTTATTGTTAACATTTTCAACAGCACATTATTTCATAATCTATATTTTGTATCTGTCCATATGGTCCGAAATATTTGTTACATTACAAGCGATATTAAAACCCTGCTAATGTTTTCATCTGCTTACAGGGGTCTCCTAAATAAACTATAATCCCCCCCCATTCTTTCCTGAAGTTTTTGTCTTCTTGGTTCCTGAGTGTGTTTGTAGTGATTTCTAAGTTGTTCTGGAGGCTATTTTTTTTTTTTTGTTTTGGCTGACGAGCAGGATTAAAATGTAAACTATCATAGATGCCTGCCTGGAACCAGAAAGGCCTGTTCATGAAATTTCTTTTGTGTGTGGTTTAAAGTTGATTATGTGATAATCCTAATCCTCTAAGAAAATAATGTGTTAGAATTTTCCCAGGCTAGATGGCTCAGCTGGTTAGAGCAAAGTGCTGATCATGCCTAGGTTGCAGGTTTTATCCCTGCATATTCCTGCATTGCAGGGGGTTGGACTAGATGATCCTCAGGGTCCCTTCCAACTCTACAGGTCTATGGTTCTATAGGATGAGACTTCCCAGCGGGCCTGGTTAGGTTCCCCCTACTCAAGCAGAGCTTTCTTTTTAGACAAAGGTTTTTATACATTTGTTTTATGTATTTGTGCAATTTTGTTTTTTGCACTGCCACAGGAAATGAAGAGTTGGGCATACTCCACTAAAGACGAGACGTTAGCCAACCCCCTTACACCAGCGAAAGGTCACTGATCACAAGGTATTAAAGGTAGTTTACACAGGTAAGGTCAAGCAAAGGAGAATGGGGCAGGGTAACCACAAATGTCGCCAGCTGGCCTCTTGCTGGACCTCTCCTCCAACCTTAGAATGTTGTTATGAAACATTGCCAGACAGCTGTCACAGCTGTCAGAGGTCTCTTTTGAAAGAAGTGTTTCTTACGCCATGACAGCCCTTCTAGAAGTGAATGCACTGCCCAAAGAGGGGCAGGACAAGGGAAACACTCCTGCCCCACAAAACTACTCGGAAGAGAGAAAACAATCTTGAGCGTGCCTTCATTTTGATCTGGCAGAGCTCAGCTGGTAGGAGTTTTGCAGAAATCCTGTGGCTTCCGTGGCCATGGTTAAAGAGATTAATGTAACAAACAATGCCATTGCAGAAGATTAAAAAAAACTCACGCTGGAAAGGCAGGGCAGCTATTTCAAGAAGATAGAATGAAGTTGTACATGCAGACATTAAGTCCCATCTCTGCCTGTTCCCCAGGGCTAAACCATTCGAGTGGCAGCCTCGGCCTCTTCCTTCCCCGAATGCAGACCGCATTTGAGGTAGTCCCTTTATTTCCAAACTCGGAAATTTTAATCCTCGTGTCTCTCGCGCCTGCTCTCTCTTCTCCGCCTCAGTTAACCGAAGATTAGTTTCCGGCATAACACACCCCTATTATTTTCCTCGGAATCAGCAGCTTCTGTCACCCCACCCCGCCCTCAATGCGCGGGGATGAATTAGGGCACCACACAATAATAATCGGCAGAAAAGCACCCGGAGGCCCGCCACAGGTCATGGGGAGCCCCACAAAGATCTCGGGCCGGCCTGGATGCTTGAACCCCAGTCCCCTGCGCCCGCCCCGTGCGTCTTTACGCACAGAAATGCCTTTTCGAAATGGCCCCGGACAAGCTTCCCACCTGCTTACAGGAAGGTTTAAAAAACGGAACGGATGTATCCGCCGCTCACATACCTGGGGAAAAACAACCATCGCCGATACGAGTCGAAGAAAGCCCCTCAAGTGAGAGGAGAGCGGGCTGAACCCCCCCTTGGAACAGATCCGGCACTTAATCCCGAGTCCTCCCTGTTGCCCCTTTACGCGTCCCAGCAACAGCTCGGAATCCGAGTTCCGCTTTTTCCTGTTTGCTTGTTGCTCTCCTGCTCGCCGGCAGGTCCCCCCCCCCCGTGTTTTGTTTCCTCCCTTGCCTCTCTCTCTGGCAAGGAGGGTGGGATCAAAGACATGAAGGCTGGACATGTGACTACCGCGGCCAGAGAGAGAGAGAGAGAGAGACGCAGAGCGGAATCCCAAGTCATAAAAAAGAGTTGCCTGCAGCAGCTGGTGCTGCGCGTCTTCTAGACCAGGCGTAGGCAAACTCGGCCCTCCAGATGTTTTGGGACTACAACTCCCATCATCCCTAGCTAGCTGGACCACGGGTCAGGGATGATGGGAATTGTAGTTCCAAAACATCTGGAGGGCCGAGTTTGCCTATGCCTGGGCTAGACGCTTGGCGACACCTTTCTGATGAGATTCATAGAATTGCAGTGTCGGAGGGATCATCTACACAAACTCCCTGCAATGCAGGAATCTTTTGCCCAACGTGGGGCTCAAACCCTTGACCCCGAGATTCAGAATCTCATGCTCTAGCAACTGAGCTGCTAACAGCATTCATTCCATTTATCCAGTGATGGCCAAACTTGGCCCTCCAGCTGTTTTGGGACTTCAGTTCCCATCATCCCTGACCACTCGTCCTGTTAGCTAGGGATGATGGGAGTTGTAGTCCCAAAACAGCTGGAGGGCCAAGTTTGGCCATCACTGTGATTTATCAATTTGCCCATTTTTCAATAATAACAGTAACAATAACAATGCATGTTAACTTGTGCTTCATGGTTCAGATGGATAACATGCCGCGCCGCAGGAGCACGATTTCTGCTCTCATCCTGAAGCAAAGTTCTTAACCCAAGGTACTATTTCTGGGTTAGCGGAGTCTGTAACCTGAAGCGTATGTAACCTGAAGCGTATGTAAACCGAGGTACCACTGTATTATGATTAAGAAATTAAGGTAGACACCTACTGATGTAGGTTTGGAATTTATGCATTCATTACATCATAATGCATCCATTGCCAAAAATACGATACGTGCAAACACTTTTAAAATGCTTCTAGTTGCACAGAGTTTTCTCTCCCTAGTTTTTCTTATTTTTCTTATCTTTATTTATTAAGTTTGCCAACTGAAGATCTCCAAGTGACTTACAGCAATAATCGTACACACACACACACACACACACACACACACACACTCTACCGTAAGGGAAGAAGAAACAGTGGGAGGAATAATGCAATCCATCAGTATCTCGTCTAAGATAACATTTATGAGTAAGCAACGCACCCACCATATAAATCATAACAAACAGCCTTAGCTATACTCAAAAGAATGATCAAATAATACTTCTGCTCACTAATTAGCAGATAAACAGTCACCCCCCCTTTTAACCACCCCCCTAAAAAAGTTTAGTATCAGGCCAGCTTAAAATGTGTTTGCAGGTTAGCACAGATAAAAATAGACTGGACTGAAGAAACTGGATGGAAAGGGAGCAATCTTTTATTTTAAAAAGGGTGGGGATCCCTTTGAATATAATAGCAGCTGTGCTGGATCATGCCAAAGGTCCATCGACTTCAGCATCCTGCTTGTGCCCTAAGCAAGATATTCAGAGACAGACTGCATCTGAACCTGGAGAAGGAACGATATCTATACGTTATAAGGAACAACCAGGTTCAGAAACAAGTCTCCTAAATATGCTGAAGTCAGGGCGACTAACAACAAAAAGCCCCTCATTTTTCTGCTGCAGTCATATTCCCTCCGCATTCCCTGTTGCCCTTCATGTAAGGGGAGAAAGGAAGCCCCCCCCAATAGCAAAGGAGAAAAAAGTGTTGCCAAATTGTCCTCCCGAAAGGAAGCATGTGGAAAGTTCTCCCCCCTGCCCTCTGCCATGAAATGAAAAAAACCCACACATTTTCTCTCTCTCTCTGTCTTCCAACATCTCTCTCACACACTCCTGCAAGCTAGATTGTTGGCACAGATTTGAAGAAGCACAGTTCTGATTGGCTTAAGGTGGGTGATCAGAGGCACGCACACACACACACACACACACACACACACATTATTTTTTGTGCCTGGAGACTTGCTGGCCTGAGAGAAACAAAAGCAGGATCGTTAAGAAGGAAAAACAAAGACCTTCCCTGTTGATTTAATTATTTGCAATTAAAAAAAAAAATGGAGGGGGGCGGGCAGAGACTTCATCCACCCATTCCAGCTACAGACCTAGAAGGCTAAGCTAGAAATCATGAGATTCTGCAGGTTTCAAAATATGCATTTGCTTCCCAATCTACCCCAGATCTCTTAATTTTCATATTTAATTTTTATCAGATAACTTTATTAATAACTTTATAAATAAATATACAAATATACATACTCTTTGGAGAGTTATTGTTTGGGGTGGTTGTTTTCTCCTTTTTTGCTGTTATTGATAGTATCTTTTTGTAGCTGTGTTTATGATTTATGTGGACATTGTTCAGTTTTGTTGTGAACTTTTTGATGTGCTTTATTTACTGTTTATAAGTATACTCACTTTTGTAATTATGTAATTCTTTTCATGTTGTAAGCCACCCAGGACGTGGCTTTTAACTGCAGAAAGGCGGCATAAAAAAAATGAAATGGTGATAATGATATTTTCAGAAATCCCAAACCCAATATAGCCCAGCAAATTGCGCAATAGTTGTACAATAATAGACTGTTGTTGAGCCAGCCAAACAGGCTCAGCTACAGAACTACGAAGACTGCTAAAATAACGAGCGGGTTTTTCCCTAACCTTAAAAAAAATGCATACCTCTTTCCGCTAAACTCCCTCACTTCCGCTTGAGATGAACGGAATTTATGGCAAACTGTTGCTTTGGTACTCATACAGGTTGCCCAAGCCTTCGAATAACAGATTTTGTCCGCCATTACAACTTAGGGCACGAAGACTTCAAGCCACGGCGAAAAAAGGGGAAAATGAGGCTGGAAAGGTAAGGGCAAAGTGGCAGCCATGTTTCTTATGGTCGCTATAACTTCAAGAGCATAGGAATTCATAAACTTTGGCGGCCATGTTTAGTAAAGGCAGAGGGGCTTCGAAAACTCGCAACGGAAGAAAGTCAGCGTTTAGCCGGACGTCGCGTGTGGCATAGAGAGATGAAAAAGTGTAGAGTAGCATGACTCTTCATTTTGAAGTTTTCCTCCTCTCCCAGGTCGGACTGCTCAGAAGAAGCCAATAGATAATGATTCTGCAGCCCGAAGGATTGGCTTTCCCTTGAAAAAAGAATCAGCAAAGAATAAAATCCCGCTAGTACGTGGGGTTTCTTTTTTTGGATCACAATGGTGCTTTAAAATCGGGGGCTGGGCAGTTACAGTGGTACCTCAGGTTACATACGCTTCAGGTTACAGACTCCGCTAACCCAGAAATAGTACCTCGGGTTAAGAAGTTTGCTTCAGGATGAGAACAGAAATCATGCTCCAGCGGCACGGCAGCAGTGGGAGGCCCCATTAGCTAAAGTGGTGCTTCAGGTTAAGAACAGTTTTAGGTTAAGAACGGATCTCCAGAACGAATTAAGTACTTAACCCGAGGTACCACTGTATTGAGCTTTCCCTGCCCCTTTTATTTCTTGTACTGGTTGGTTTCGATTTCCAGACAGAAAAATCCCACCCGCAGAAATGCGTCTCAACTCGCAGCATAAGAACATTCGAAGAACCTGGCTGGATCAAGCCAATGGCCATAGGAGCCAACTCCTAGGGGCCAATGTCCCTTTGAGCCCTCAATAAAATATTTGAGGGGACTTGGGTGGCGCTGTGGGTTAAACCACAGAGCCTAGGATTTGCCAATCAGAAGGTCGGCAGTTCGAATCCCCGCCACGGGGTGAGCTCCCATTGTTCAGTCTAAGCTCCTGCCAACCTAGCAGTTCGAAAGCATGTCAAAGTGCTAGTAGATAAATAGGTACCGCTCTGGAGGGAAGGTAAACAGCGTTTCCGTGCGCTGCTCTGGTTCGCCAGAAGCGGCTTTGTCATGCTGGCCACATGACCCGGAAGCTGTACACCGGCTCCCTCGGCCAGTAAAGCAAGATGAGCACTGCAATCCAGAGTCGGTCACGACTGGACCTAATGGTCAGGGTCCCTTTACCTAAAATATTTGAGAGGTTCCACCCCGCCCTCCTCCCCGCTTGATCAGCATTGCCATTCAAATAGTCTGGATATGCCTTGTTATGTGATTGATTGAGGATTTTATTCAATTCGCCGACCATCCTGTTCTCACAGCTGCCACCAAGATTGGGGCGACAGGACCAGCAAAACAGGTTTCAGAGAACAGGTTAACTCTCCTGGGGTTTCCAGCAACTGCCAATCAAAAGCGTTACTGCCTGCAACGGCGGAGGGCAGTTTATATAGCCATCGTGGCTAGTAGCCACCGAGTAGCCCTGCAAGGAAACGTGATTAAACCCGCAGTCAGTCAAAAGCAGAAGCCTAGTCGCTCCTCCGTCCCTCCCCTCTCCTCTCTCTGTAGAAAGTCTCGGAATATCGGCACCGCACTTGTCAATCTACATTTGGCGCTACGGTGCAAGAGCGACCGCCATATTAACTAAGGGCACCTGTCGCTTTCCGAAGTCGGGCGGAGAAAGAAAGAAAGGGTGGGAGGAGCCAGGCGGGATTGGCTGAGCCGCCGCTGTCGTCATCGAAGGGCTGCTTCCTGTTCAGCAACTGCCGGAGGCCGGAGGCTCGGCTGGGTCTGCAGGTGAGAGTGCTGGGAGGATGGGCGCACCTGCGACGACCGGGGGGAGCCGGGGGGGGGGGACGTTTTCGTTTCCTGAGGGACGGGGCGACGTTGGGGGTTGGGGGGCAGGCCTAGGGCAGAAGGGGGCAGAGGGGGCTCCCTTGCCCGGGTGGGTTTCATTCCAGCTCTGGCTGGCAGCCACCAGAGCCTGGGGTGGGAGTGGGTGACAGTGCTTTGGGTTGGCAGGCTCAGCCAGGGGCCTCTGGGTGCTCGCCCTTTGGGGTGCTGCCGTGGCCACTCTGGGCTTTCAAAACTTCCCACTGCCCTGGAGAGGGTGCCCCAAGGCATGTGCAGACTGCCCCCCACCCGCCAAAAGGGAACACGGCTTTATTTTTGGGAAACACTGCACACCTGGTCGCAGGATTTGCTTGGAGAAAAGGGGTAAATAAAGAAAGGGAGTAGAGGCTGCCAACTGTTCAATCTTTTTTGGGGGGTGGGGGGGTGAAATCCGGAAAACACTTCTAGATTTTACGGTAATTTCCGAGCTTCACCTTTGGTTAGGTGTTTTTTGTTTTTGAGGCTTTGTCCAACAAGCAGATGCCAAACAGATGAACAACGATTTGACTATTAGAAGTCAAGGCAGCCCCGTTCAGGGAAGTTTTCAGTGGTGGATGTTTTATTGTGCTTTTAATATTTTGTTGGGAGTCTACCCAGAGATGGGTAGCATATTAATCATCAATATTATTCTTATTAATAATAATTAACAAAGGCCTTTGCTTCTGATGATCAGGCACCCATGTTTTCAAGCACTTTTCTGTCCAGGGAGTGGAACTGTATTCCCTATCCTGCAGTTCTGTTTTGTCAGCCAGGATCTGTTCCAGTCCCCTTGCTTTCCATGTCCCTATTTCTATTCCCCGTTCTATGTTTGTGTTTTCAGGCAGAGTAGAGGTCATCTGGGCAGGCTACGGAGCTACCATTGCCCCTAAACTTCCCTGCTTTATTCAGCCTGCACTGGGTGTGTGTTTAAAGATTTGATAATTGCATTTCTGGATTCCAGTGTGCTTTTTAAAAAAGAGGGCTCTGATCCCAGGAGAGTGCAAGTCTCGCTTCCGCAGAGAAGCAGTGGCAAAAGAATGAAGTAAAGCCAGGTTAGGGAACCTGCAGCCCTCCAGATGTTGTTAAACTACAGTTCCTATCATCCCTGAATGTTAGCAGTGCTGGCTGGGGCTGATGGGAGATGGCGTCTTTCCACATCTGGAGGCCCACAGGTTCCTCACCATTGAACTAAGTGAACAAGTATCTGTAGGCTCAGTTTACAGACTTAAAAACTGATGTGTCAATGCGTATTTTTACTCTGAAGCAGATTGGCCTCAAAGCAAAACTTCGGATGCAGAAGGCCTACATTGGCTCCCAGTACATTTCCGAGCACAATTCAAAGTGTTGGTGCTGAACTTTCAAGCCCTAAATGGCTTCGGCCCACTATATATTTCTACCCCATCATTCAGCCCGGACACTGAGGTCCAGATCTGAGGGCTTTCCGGTGGTTCCCTCACTGCAAGAAGTGAAGTTACAGGAACCATGCAGAGGGCCTTCTCCGTGGTGGCACCCACCTTGTGGAAGACTCTCCCATCAGATGTCAAGGAGATACAGAACTACACAACTTTTAGATGACACCTGAAGGCAGCCCTGTTTAGGGAAGTTTTTTAATGTTTGCAGTTAATAATCATGTTTTTATATTTGTTGGAAGCTGCGCAGAGTGGCTAGGCAGCCCAGTCAGCTGGGCAGGGTACTACTACTACTAATAATTTGAAGACTGTTTCTAATTTGATTTGTGCAGCTAGATAGGAATCCTTTCTGTGGAACAAGATAGAAAGAAACCTTGTTGTTTTATATATAAAAAACACTTTCTCTTTTTTCTTTCAGGAGAGGGGGGCACCTCCAGTCCTGCCCCACCATGTCTGGGATTGGGAACAAACGGGTGGCTTCGGAGGCCAGTCCCTCTGGACCTCCGGAGAAGAAAGCGGGTGTCGAAGACTCGGGAACCACAGTGGAGACCATTAAACTTGGTGGCGTCTCCTCAACGGTTTGTATCTCTTTCTGCAGTGGTCTTCTCCATTTCTTAAGAAATCTGCTGAATGGAATTCCAGTTCCCACTTTTGGGCTCCCATCGGCTCCTGTGGGATGAGCTCCGTTTGCTAGCTGGGAGGTCTGAGGCCTAGTTCTTTTTGCAATCGCAAAGCTATTTCTGGGCTTCAGGTTGCAAGTGAGGGCCTGTGGACTCCAAATCCCAGCACCCCTGCCCACTAGCCATGCTGACTGGGCTGATGGGAGTTGGAGTCCAGCAGTATCCAGAGGGCCACCCTGTTTTACTTGATTTGCTATTCCGTCATCCAAGCCACTTATTTAACAAATCTCTGCGCATTGAAAACAAACAAAAGCTACCATGGCTAGAGCTGGAGCCTTTCTTCCTGCCATGTTAATTTTCTGTGCTCAACTTTAATGAGCTTGTCTTTTAATTCCCCATTGTCTTTTAATTCCCCATTCTCCTGGTCTGGAAGAAAAGATCCGTTATGCCAGTTGTCTCCTGCTGTCAAATCTACTGTCTCAGAGGGAACTAGGCCTGAGTTGAGCCTGTATTGTGGTAACTGCTCTTGGCGTGATTTCAGGAAGAACTGGACATCCGCACCCTCCAGACCAAGAACCGGAAGCTGGCAGAGATGCTGGACCAGCGGCAGGCTATCGAGGATGAGTTGCGGGAGCACATAGAGAAGCTGGAAAGGCGGCAGGCCACGGACGACGCTTCGCTGCTGATTGTCAATCGCTACTGGAGCCAGGTCTGCCAGGGTCTGCCTCTCTCAGTCCCGTTCCCTTTCCTGCTGCTTGTCTCTACCCCCTTGAAAATTGAGCGCTATGTGTTTCTTCCCCCTCCTCTTCAGTTCGACGAGAACATTCGCATCATTTTGAAGCGCTACGACTTGGACCAAGGCCTCGGTGACCTTCTGTCGGAACGGAAAGCCCTGGTGGTGCCGGAACCGGAACCCGATTCGGACAGTAACCAGGAGCGCAAAGAAGAGCGGGAGAGAGGTGAGAATGGGCCGCCATTGTGGCTTAGGAGTGGCAGCGCTGATGTTCTCTTCTGGTGTGGAAAATTCTGAACTGGAAATAATTCCTGTGAAAACCTTGGCAATCTGTATAGGGTAATTTACCCCGAAAATGTAAGTTTTCCTGATGCCCTAGAACCTAGAGCCATTTTGCCTTGTGGGCCTGTGGTGAGTGGGGCAAGACGCAATGAATTCGACTTCTCCCACTGAAAGGTTGTTGTTGTTGTTTAGTCGTGTCTGACTTTTCGTGACCCCATGGACCAGAGCACACCAGGCACTCCTGTCTTCCACTGCCTCCCGCAGTTTGGTCAAATTCATGCTGGTAGCTTCAAGAACACGGTCCAACCATCTCATCCTCTGTCGTCCCCTTCTCCTTGTGCCCTCAATCTTTCCCAACGTCAGGGTCTTTTCCAGGGAGTCTTCTCTTCTCATGAGGTGGCCAAAGTATTGGAGTCTCAGCTTCAGGATCTGTCCTTCCAGTGAGCACTCTGGGCTGATTTCCTTAAGAATCTTCTTGCAGTCCATGGGACACTCAAGAGTCTCCTCCAGCACCATAATTCAAAAGCATCAATTCTTTGGCGATCAGCCTTCTTTATGGTCCAGCTCTTGCTTCCATACATCACTACTGGGAAAACCATAGCTTTAACTATACGGACCTTTGTTGGCAAGGTGATGTCTCTGCTTGTAGGTTGCATTATTGCCCACAAATGCCAGAGATTCCCACATCTCTCCAGGTGAGAAAGAGGCGTTGTCTCTGGTCTAAGGACATCTTCCAGCCAGGCAAAAGCACTCAAGTGGGATAACAGGCTGGTTGGGGGTCTGGCCTGGCCGAAGAGAGAGTTCTGGAGGGCTGCATTTAGCCCTCTGGGCTTGAAGTTCCCTAACTCTGCCCTAGAGAGTGACATAGTATGTTTATTTTATTTGTATTTAGTACACAAAAGCTGGAAGCTTGCCCAATGTTTTATTTGCATCTGGCATTCATTCAATAATAACAGGAAAGCAGTGGGAAATCTTTGCTGCTGTTGCTTCCTCCTGTCAGGTAAAAGGTAAAGGTAAAGGGACCCCTGACCATTAGGTCCAGTCGTGGACGACTCTGGGGTTGTGGTGCTCATCTCGGTTCATTGGCTGAGGGAGCCAGCGTACAGCTTCCGGGTCATGTGGCCAGCAGGACTAAGCCGCTTCTGGCGAACCAGAGCAGTGCACGGAAATACCGTTTACCTTCCCGCTGGAGCGCTACCTATTTATCTACTTGCATTTTGATGTGCTTTCGAACTGCTAGGTTGGCAGGAGCAGGGACCAAGTAACAGGAGCTCACCCCATTGTGGGGATTCCAACTGCCGACCTTCTGATCGGCAAGCCCTAGGCTCTGTGGTTTAACCCACAGTGCCACCTGCATCCCTTCTCCTGTCAGGTAGCCCTTTACAAATCAGATGGTTATGAGCTCAGGGAGGTGGGGATGATAACTGCCCCATTTAGGTTTCAAGGCCTTTGCATGGTTGACATCAAATGCCCTTTTAAAATGTATTGGGGGGGGGTTTGGGTTGTTTTCATTTTTATTTTGTTTATGTATTTTGTGTTTTTATATTGTGATTTTATCTTGTGAACCACGCTGAGACCCATGGGTATAGAGCAGTATACAAATTTAAATTTTTTAACCAACAACAACAACAAGGAGTGCAAAGCTGTGTCCTTTCATGGCTGGGCATTATTTCTTATCATTTCCTAGGAGAGATCTTTGAGCCGGCCTTCTCTTTCCTGGCTACGCTGGCCAGCAGCACCAGCGAGGAAATGGAATCTCAGTTGCAGGAGCGCGTGGAGTCTTCTCGCCGGGTCGTCATGCAGATTGTGACCATGTACGATAAGCTCCAGGAGAGGGTGGATGTGCTCTCCCAGAAGCTGAACAGCGGAGGTATGGGGTGCTCCCAAATATATGTATCGTTTTTGAGGCCTTCGTTCTCAAAAGCAGTTAATAAATAACTTGGAAAAAAATGAATCTCACAGTAGCCAAACGCTACCACTGTTGTGGTTCTCCTTGTGTCAAATTTTAGATTGTATGCTCCTCGGGGCAGGGGCCTAGTCTTTTAGTTCCTGGAGGTTTGGCCAGCAAGCCAGGCTGCTAGCTGCCCCTCTTTCCTCGTGATTAGTTGCGTCAGGTGTTCCCTATTGTATGGTTTGATGAGAGTGGTAGATGCTGTTGAGAGCTAACCCTATTCTTAGTGGGTCTGCTGCTGCTTGCTTGCTTTCTTCAGTGCAGAACCACTCTCCTCTCTGCATTTCCGTGGCCACCACTGCTATGCCTCCACATCTGAGCATGAAGGAACAATAGCAGGATGTTGAAACCTTGAACCTTGGGGGCTGGATTCAGCTGCCTGGTTCCATTAGTAGAAGTCAGTGCAAGCCTCCCCCTGCCTTTCCCCAAGTGTCCTCTGCCTCCCCCAAATAGACTGGAGTGTAGGGAGAACTCCCAGAACGATGTGTGAGGTGAGGAAAGCAGATATTGTACCACTGGGCAGACAGAAAAGCTTGAGCTGACAGAACAATCTCCCGAGTGCTATGTTGAATTCCGCCCCACAAATCTGATGCGAGATTACTGGGCTTTGCTTCCCACAGTTTTGAAATCTGTCGTTAACCATGAGGGCAAAAGCTTGCTTTGAAAACCCGCCAAGATTCTAAGGATGCTGAGTTTGCATAGTCAGTACTGAGTTTTGCACAGAACACCCCGTGGCCCGCTAGCTTCCGATGTTTTTTTTATAGTAGTGTACCAAAAGCCTTTCTTCCCTCAGATGTTTCTCTGATGGAAGAGGCTCTCCAGGAGCTGAACTCCTACCTGGCAAACGAGAACAAGCGACTGCAAGAACTGGCCGATTTACTCCAGGAAAAGCATCGCACCATGTCTCAGGAGGTAACAAGGAGTGGATCTGCAGGGCTGGAAACCGGGTAGCAAAAAAATAATGCGGTTGACAAAGTTGCGGGGTTTCAGTGTGTAGATATTTGTGTGTGTGTGAGTGAGTGAGTGAGTGAGTTGGGTGTGTGGGTTAACTGGACCAAGGAAATGCCATGGCCAGGTGAACTGATGCTGCCCCCAGAGGCTTTTAGGCGGAGAGAGTGTAACTTGCCCAACGCTGTCTAGCAAGGGGCACGCAAGACAGCGCTGCAACTCTCCATTCTGTCCACTGTGTTTTCTTTCCATGTGGAGTCGAAGGGAAGCACTGAGGCTTCTGGGAAGAGGGAGGGGAACATCTGCTTGCCTCAGCATGCGGGAAGTTAAGTTTAGGCCAGCGATGGCCAAACTTGGCCCTCCAGCTGTTTTGGAACTGCAATTCCCATAATCCCTGACCACTGGCCCTGTTAGCTAGGGATGATGGGAGTTGTAGTCCCAAAAACAGATGGAGGGCCGAGTTTGGCCATCACTGGTCCAAGCAGTCAGTTGCTCTCTGAGCTACGATAAAAACAGTTTCTTGCGCTTTCTCGTTCTCCTCTTTGCCCCTGTTCCTTTGCTGCAGTTCGCTAAATTGCAAAGGAAAGTGGAGATGGCGGAGTCTCGCGTGTCTGTGCTGGAGACCATGATTGACGACCTGCAGTGGGACATTGACAAGATTCGCAAGCGGGAGCAGAGGCTGAACAGGCACCTGGCAGATGTCTTGGAGCGGGTGAGACTCAGCACCCCTGGGAACAGCCCCAGGGTTGTAGCAGTGCTGGAAGGTGTTGGCAGGGACTGTAACTCCATGGTGGAGCATCTATGCCTTGCACACAGGATTGGTCTGGGTTCAATCCTCAGCATCTCCAGGTGTGGCCAGGGGAGACCCCTGGCTGAAACCCTGGAGAGATACTGCCAGTCAGGCTTTAGCAAAAATGTTTAAAGAATTATGCAAGAATATTATGGTTATGAGAAATTGGTAAAAATAAGATTTAAGTTTTAAGGTTTTTTATAGTAAGATAAGATTAAAATAGATTAAGGTAATGTAATGACAGAATATTATGAAATATGGAAAGTATTTGCTGCAACAATTAACAACTAGGATACAAAAAAAAGGGAGGAGGAGGAGGTCAAAGAAAGAAGGTAATGACAGTTAAGGATTTGAGAATATTGGATTTGTTTTTAAATGTTTGTGGTATATTTTTGTTTTTTGATCGTGTTGTGCTATTTTTTGATTTAGATTTTTAATAATTTGTATTGTTTGATGTGGTTTGTTTTTTCTTTGTTCTTTCTTTCTCTTTTTCTACTTTGCTTTCTTTTGTAATTCTAAAAAAATTTCAATAAATATCATTTAAAAAAAAAAGAGATACTGCCAGTCAGTGCAGACCGTCCTGAGCTAGATGGATTGACGCCCTGACTCAGCGTATGGCGGCCTCCACTGTTAATTGTCGGAAGGAGGGAATGCCTAGCGAGCGTTGTCCTTATTTTATTTTTAGATTTGTATCCCGCTTGTTTGGGACCAGCGTCTCCAAAGTGGCTCTTGATGCTTAAGAAATTGCATGTTGAAAATAAAACTAGTGTATCTTTTGCAGGTGAACTCAAAAGGGTACAAGGTGTATGGAGCTGGAAGCAGCCTGTATGGGGGCACAATCACGATCAACTCTCGGAAGGTAAACCTTGAGACTTTGCACACGGGCAAACATAGAAGTAGCAGTGGGTGTGGAGGTGCAAATGAGGCTTTCAGCAACTGGCTCCTTTCCCTTTCTCTCTTTTGCAGTTCGAGGAGATGAATGCCGAACTCGAGGAAAACAAGGAGCTTGCCCAGAACCGCCTGAGCGAGCTCGATAAGTTGCGTCAGGATCTTGAGGAAGTGACCACGCAGAATGACAAGTTGAAGGTACTGGGGAGGGAAAGCATTTTCCACGTTTCTGATGGTCGAGGAATACCTCCCCCACCCCCGGCACTCTTAATTCTTACAGACTCTAAAATTAAATTTTAATTAACAATTAAAAGGCAGGATAATAATGATGACGATGATGATTGGAAGCTGTTTCTAGTACTTCCTGACGGCCTGCGTGGGTGAGGCTAGTCCAGGGGCAGGCAACCTAAGGCCCTGGGGCTGGATTTGGCCCAATCACCTTCTCAATCTGGCCCGAGGATGGTCTGGGAATCAGCGTATTTTTACATGAGTAGAATGTGTCCTTTTATTTAAAATGCATCTCTGGGTTATTTGTGAGGCATAGGAATTCGTTCATCCCCCCCCCCCAAATATAGTTCAGCCCCCCACATGGTCTGAGGGACAGAGGACTGGCCCACGGCTAAAAAAGGTTGCTGACCCCTGGGTTAGTCCCAAGCCTTAGAACACTCTACTGTCCCAGGAAGATGCTCCCTATTGCAGTTCTGGTGGCTCACCACAAGGGGCAGCACCACCTGTTTCAATCCAGGTGGCTTCTTGATTAGGACAGGTAAATGTTGTATGTCGAGTGATGCTTCAGCCATGCCAGTGGAGGCAGAGCTCTCTAGCCTAGAGATGGGTGTGTGTGTGTGTGTGTGTGTGTGCTGCTGGACTACAACACCTATCAGCTCTAAGCATTGACTATGCAGGCTGGAGCTGATGGGATTTGGTGTCTGAGAACCTCTGGAGGGCAACAGGCTCCCCATCCCAGCTTTTTAGCTCATTGGAAGGAGGAAAGTCACGCATTAAGTCATGGGTAAGCAAACTAAGGCCCGGGGACCGGATCCGGCCCAATTGCCTTCTAAATCCGGCCTGCAGACGGTCCAGGAATCAGTGTGTTTTTACATGAGTGGAATGTGTCCTTTTATTTAAAATGCATCTCTGGGTTATTTGTGGGGCCTGCCTGGTGCTTTTACATGAGTAGAATGTGTGCTTTTATTTAAAATGTATCTCTGGGTTATTTGCGGGACATAGGAATTGGTTCATCCCCTCCTCCCCCCAAAATATAGTCCGGCCCCCCACAAGGTCTGAGGGATGGTGGACCGACCCCCTGCTGGAAAAGTTTGCCGACCCCTGCATTAAGTGATCTCCATAGGTTGGGTTCAGCAGATCCTTTCATGAATTTCTTTCTCAAGATAACATGCTTTACGCATGACTTGGATACAGTTTGGGTGAGGTCTGTAAAAACGTGCCTCTCTTTGTTTTATTGCCCTGGCTCCTCAGAAGCTGCTTGTTTGAAAACAACACGCTGTGTTTCAAAATCAGTAGATTCCACACCCCTCCCTTATGAAGCAAGTGTTTCCTTTCAACTGTAGAACTATTTTTGATGCAGTGCTGCCACTTTCTGGCCGTTTAAGCACACTGCAGACATTTGGAATTCCCTCCGCTCTTCTGCATAGTGTTGAGTGCAGTTTTTGTTTCTGCCGTGTGTCATTGGGCACCATTTTCTCTTTTGCCTCCCCACCCCCTGTTCTGTGGCCCCCTGCCCAGGTGGACCTGAGGCGGGCAGTGGAGGAGGTGGTGAAGGAAACCCCAGAGTACCGCTGCATGCAGTCCCAGTTCTCCGTTTTGTACAATGAGAGCCTGCAACTGAAATCTCAGCTAGACGAGGCCCGAACGCTGCTTCACGGCACACGGGGTACCCACCAGCGCCAGGTGGAGCTCATTGAGGTAACGCCTTCCTCCCCTTGTTTCCTCTCTTTCCTCTCACTTTCCCTGGGGTGGATCATGGCAGTTGGCACCCGCACTAAACTCACTGCTGGACAAAAAAATAGTGGTGCAATTGACTTCCGACAAGCACACAGAGTGCGAACAAGACTGAGCGTATGTGTTGGGAGGAGGGGGGCTCGTTTAATTTCAATGCACACAGGTGGTGTAGTGACAATAAAGGTTTATTTATTTATTATTATATGACAAAGAGGGACGCGGGTGGCGCTGTGGGTTAAACCACAGAGCCTAGGACTTGCCGATCGGATGGTCGGTGGTTCGAATCCCCACGACGGGGTGAGCTCCCGTTGCTCGGTCCCTGCTCCTGCCAACCTAGCAGTCTGAAAGCACGTCAAAGTGCAAGTAGATAAATAGGCACCACTCCGGCAGGAAGGTAAACGGTGTTTCCGTGCTCTGCTCTGGTTCGCCAGAAGCGGCTTAGTCATGCTGGCCACATGACCCGGAAGCTGTACACCGGCTCCCTTGGCCAATAAAGCAAGATGAGCGCCGCAACCCCAGAGTCGGCCACAACTGGACCTAACGGTCAGGGGTCCCTTTACCTTACTATATGACAAAGAGACTCTAACAATGAGGTGTTTGTAGAAGCATGGAAACCCTTTTCAGATTACAGTTGTACCTTGCATCCCAAACGCCTTGGTACTCAGACGGTTTGGCTCCCGAACGCCGCAAACCGGGAAGTTAGTGTTCCGGTTTGCAAATGTTCTTTGGAACCCGAACGTGCTATGGGGTTTCCGCGGCTTCCGGTTGGCTGCAGGAGCTTAGCGCGATACTGAACCACTCCGGCCGCTTACAGTGGCACACCCGTGCTCCCTCGAAGCAAGGGACTGTGGGTGTTCAGGAATTATTTAGAAGAGGGAAGCTGCAGGAGAACTAGCTGCTGCTGTTGGGTCCTTAACCCAACATGCACGGCATAAGAAGAGGGTCTGCAGCCCTTTCTCTCAGCACCTTCTCGTCCCGCAGCAAGAGGGGGCTGCTGCTGAAGTCAGAGACATCGAGGCTGAAATCTCTCTCTCTCTTTCTCACCAGCGGGATGAAGTCAGCCTGCACAAGAAGCTGCGAACAGAGGTCATTCAGCTTGAAGACACCCTTGCTCAGGTCCGCAAGGAGTACGAGATGTTGCGGATAGAGTTTGAGCAGACGCTTGCGGCTAACGAACAAGCAGGTGACTTGAAGTCGGGTTGTGCACAGAGGCACTTGGGTTTTCCTTGCTGGGCACCTCTCTTGGGGAAACATCCACAGTAGCTGAGCTGCAGCCAGGTTAGCCTCACCCGTGCAGATAATCTGAGCACTGTGCACCTCTTGGGTATTACCGTACTGTTCCGTGTATAAGACTCTGTTCTTTTCTTTAAAAATCATGCTAAAAAGTGGGGGTTGTAGTGCACAGGGTGGATTGGTTTGATTGGTTGCTGCTGCGGCTGTCAGCGGATATTGTGCGTGTCATTGGTTGCTGTGTCCATGGATGGTGACGCTCTGGCAGTTGGGCGGGTGATTGGCAGCTTCTGCTGGCGATGGGACAGACGGGAGGCGGATATTGCGACGCGGGCAGATGGGCAACTTTTGGCAATCCTCCGCAAAAAAAGCTTAACAACTCTGTGCCATCTCCCCCCATTTTCTTTGAGTCCACCAAAATAGGGGTAGTCTTATACACGGGGGCGTCTTATACACGGAAAAGTACAGTAAGTCCTCTTGTCTTAAAACCTTCGTGATCTTTCAGGTAAGCCCTGAGCATGTGGCTAATCAGGGATCCCCTTTTTCTAGTCAGGAACTTGCCTGAGAGCTCTCTGCCTTAGTTTTTCCTGTCTTGAGCCACTGTGACCACAAGGTCTTAAAATACTGTATTTTTCGCTCTATAAGACGCACCAGACCATAAGGTGCACCTGGTTTTTGGAGGAGGAAAACAAGAAAAAAATATTCTGAATCCCAGAAGCCGGAACAGCAAGAGGGATCTGGCTTCTGGGATAGCCGCGCGAAGCCTCTTCAGGGCAGCGGGATGAAGACTCCCCCTGCCCGGAAGAGGCTGCGCGCAGCTAAGGCAGAAGCCAGGACAGGAAGCGGGGCTCCATTTCTCCTCCCACTTCGCAGGAGAGGCTCTTCGCTGAAGGGGCGCTGCACAGCTCTCCCTCTCTGCACAGCGCCATTTGCTCCATAAGACGCACTCACATTCCCCCTTACTTTTTAGGAGGAAAAAAGTGTGTCTTATGGAGCGAAAAATACGGTAAACCCTGTCCGATTGCAGATTTTGAAAAACAGCTGCCGCAGACCTCTGATAGTCTGAGTTTCATCTTTTAAAGCCGTGTTTCTCAAACCTGGGTCTCTAGCTGTTTTTGGACTACAACTCCCATCGTCCCTGACCACTGTTCCTGCTAGCTAGAGATTTCTGGGAATTATTAGGGACAGAACTACCTAAATTGTATAGAAATTTATTTATGTATGCTACTGCGGCAGCAAGAATGTTACTTGCCCCAAAGTGTAAAGAGGCAGAAGTCCCAGAAAAAGAAGAATGGATACAAAAGCTTATGGAATATGCAGAAATACCGGAAGAATAAGAAATCAAGATAACAAACTTTTTATAAAAGAGTGGAAATGGCTTGTTGAATATTTACAGATAATTTGTAAACGGATAAGACCATTCGCAGGATTAATGTAATAACCTGCAGTTTTATAAGTGTGTATATTTACAGTAGATAAATGAGCAAGTTAAATGAACTTGGATATGCAGAAGTTATTTAAAAAAATAATTTAAGGAACAGCAGAAAGGGGGAAGGAAGTCAAAATTTGGAAATGTTAGATTGGTTGTAAAACTAATGAAATGTATAAATTTGAAAAATATTTAAAAAACCCCAAAACAGCTGGAGACCCAAGTTCGATAAACACTGCTTAAAAGGAAAAAAGGAAGGGACTGGTTATACATGGAATGAATCAATACATCCAAGTTGTACAGCGGCCTAGTAACTGGGAAGCGAGATTCCATGCATTTTGGTGTCTTCTGCAAGGTCTTGTTCTTGGCCGCTCTGACAACCGTACATCAGGGACAGGGTACCTGTGACCCTTCAGATATTGTTGGGCTCCAGCTTCCGTCTCCTGGATTATAGCTGGGCTTGATGGCAGTTGGAGTCCATCCATGCCATACAGTCATTGCCCTTTTGGTCCAAGGAACACATTCCCTTCTGGGAAAATTTCTAGGGGTCCGTATGCCGGAGGGGTGGGGGGATACAAAAGCGAGCAAAGCAACACATGGAATTTTTGTTTTAGTTTATTTTACTTATTTGTTTTCTTTTATTTATTTATTAAATTTGCATGCCATCCTCCTTGCAAAGATCTCAGGGTGGCTCACAGCGTAAAAACACAAACACACAATTTTACCTTTGTGCAGTAGATTAGTTTCCACACGTATACTCACACACCCCTCTCTATCGAGGAACTCGTGAGAGATGTAGCTTAGAGCGAGAGGGAGTGTGCCAAGGGCCAGATAGAAAGGCCTGGAGGGCCACACTTGGCCCTGAGGTTCCCCTTCCTTAGATTGGACCAGCTGGGGAAAAATCTCCTGAAAGGAAGGCCCCTTCTCAGGTTCTTTTGCAACCGATCTAGAAGAGCCGGAAGATCTTACCGTATCTTGGCTCTTCCCATGTGATGGTCTTCACGCAGGTCCTATCAATCGGGAGATGCGGCACCTCATCAGCAGCCTCCAGAACCACAACCACCAGCTGAAAGGGGAGGTCCTGAGATACAAGCGGAAGCTGCGGGAGGCACAATCTGATCTGAGCAAGGTAAGGGAGGTGGAGAAGCCGAGGAGACAATGGAGGAGGCTGGAAGTGAGGCGGTGTCTTTTTAGGCCGGGTTTTTAAAAAATAGCATATGTGAGTGACAGAAAAGGGGGCAATGCCTCTTTTTCAATGGAGCTTACTCTCAGCAGTTTTTGCGAGCATGCATTATACTCTATATCTATATATTTCTATACCTATATACACACACTCTGTCTACATGAGTAATCAGGGTGTTCTTTTTCGAGTTGCTAAAAAGGGCTTTCATTGATTAATCTTGAAGGCAGAAAAATATATACCGTATTTTTCTGTCTATAAGACGCCACCATGTATAGGACGCCCCCTATTTTGGGGGCCTCAATTTAAGAAAATAGGGGGAGATGCATCCATGTATAAGACGCCCCCTAATTTTTGACATTATTTTTTAGGGAAAAAACCTAGTCTTATACACGAAAAAATACAGTACATAGTTTTATATACATATGTTTTGTGATATTTTATGCATTGTGATTTGCTGTTTTATTGATTCTCGATTAGCAATTCTTTATTGTAATTGATCATTCTTCATCATAGTTTTATTCTTTGCTATTAGATTCTAATGCATTATTGAATATTGCTTTATTTGATATAAGTTGTTTATTTAAGATTTATTGTGACTTTTTCCTATAGAATCAGATTGTTACTATTAATGTTTGATATTTCATTATGTTTTTATATGTGCTGGAAGCCGACCAAAGTCTCAGCCAGATGGGCAGGGTATATATTTTTTTAAAAAAAATTATTATTAAGAGGTTGTGCTAAACTATTGAACAAGAACAATAATGAGTGTGGTAGAGAAAGCCATACCTATTGATAGCATAAGAGAGAGAGAACACAAAAAAATCCCCAATCCATATGGGCACTTTAAAAATTATATTTGTGCTCAGCACAGAATCACTCCAAAAGCACATTGTGCTCCCACCCTGTTCTCAAAGTTCTGTTCTAGGTGTGCCAGAGCAAGGGTGTCCTTGTCTTTCCAGTCAAGTCCAAGGGCAAGAGAAGCCCATAAACAACCCTTATGGGAAAGTATTCCATGTAAGTTTGTGGGGGGGGGGAGGGGGTCATAGCTTATAGGTATAGACCACCTGCATTGCATGCAAAGGTCCCAAGTCCTGGCATCTCCAAGTTGGGCTGGGAATGCCCCTATCCGAAATCCTGGGTGGCGGCTGCCAATCAGAGTAGACAGTACTGCATTGGATGAACCGGCGACAGAAGGCAGCTTTTGCATGTTCTCATGCGTGCGCATGTCCCGCTGTTCTGCAGACCCGTTCCCGCAGCGGGAGCGCCCTCCTGCACTCCCAGTCCAGCACCGAGGACCCCAAGGAGGAGCCGCTGGAGATCAAGCAGGACGCCGACGACCCTTCTTCTTCTTCCCAGGGCTCTGCCTCCAAGGGCCCCTCCGAGGACGCGCTGGAGAGCAAAGCGAAGCGGGACGAAGAGGAACGGGAGCGGGAGCGGCGGGAGAAGGAGCGGGAGCGGGAGAAGGAGAAGGAGAAAGAGAAGGAGCGGGAACGGGAGAAGGAGAAGGAGAAAGAGAGGGAGCGGCAGAAGCAGAAGGAGTCCGAGAAGGAGAGGGAGTCCAGTAAAGACAAGGACAAGGGGAAGCACGACGACGGCAGGAAGAAGGAAGCCGAGTTGGTCAAGCAGCTGAAGGCGGATCTAAAGTAAGATGGGCGCAGTTTGCTCTTTGATGGTTGGGTCCTTTTGGCAGTTGCCAAGTATTGTTGGTGTACAGTTGTACCTTCCAGAATCCGTTCTGGAAGTCCGTTCAACTTCCAGAACGTTCAGAAACCAAAGCGCGGTTTCGGATTGGCTGCAGGAAACTACTGCAGCCAATCGGAAGCCGCGTCGGACGCTCGGGTTCCAAAAAATGTTTGGAAACCAAAGCACTCATTTCCAGGTTTCAGTCGTTCGGGAGCTGATTTGTTCAGGAGCCAAGGCATATGAGATCCAAGGTACAACTGTTCGGTTCTGTTGGTGTGGCTGTTTCCTGCGTCCTACATATCTGGATCTCAACAGGTGGCAGCAAGGCTCTGAATTGTGGTGCGGCTGTTGTGCCTAGCTAGCCTGTTCCAAATTTCACGCACTTACATAACGAGGCTACAGTCTTAACCCCGCTTGCTTGGGAGCGAGCCCCATTTAAGTCAGTAGGATGCGCTCCTGAGTAGGCATGGTTAAGTTTCTGCTGGTAGTAAGCCAGATGATGTTCATGGATTTGCTAGGAGCCCTCTGGGGCTGTTTCTCAGCTGTCAGCACTAGTCTTTGGGCAGTGTGGATGTGTGCAGCACATGAGGCCAAGTGAGCTTTCTTACCCAGTTCAAGGACAAGAACCATCACATACACAGTGATTGTCTCCCTCTTAGGATTCACAAAAAGGTATCCCCCATTGCTTAATGTGCCGGCCTGGGTGGTTGGAATCTCTTCTCTGGGCCATTGGGCTTCTCATTGCTTGCAACTCTCAGTGACTGAGAAACAGTTCTTGCACACTCCCTCCTGAGCATCCAGTTCTATTTTATTTTATTTGACAAAGTAATAATCATAAATAAATAAGAATAAAAATGTGCACCCCACCACCGAGACTATTCCATTGTAACTAATCCAACCTCCCAAAATTCCAACACCTCTTGCGATGGTTTGATCTCTTTCCATTTTAACAGTACAAATTCGACAAACATCCTCCATATCTCCACAAAATCATTTTTCTTGCATATTCCCCATCTTACCTTAATGGCACATGTTAATTTATCATTAATAGCTATATCGCACACCTCTTTATACCATTCTTACATTTTATATTCTGCTTGCCCCTTCCACTTCCTAGCTAACATAATTCGTGCAGCTGTCAATAAATTTGTGAGCAAGTTAGCCTGTGATCCTTCCACCCCGTCGTAAATTGATAGTAACGCTACCTCTGGACTTTCGGTCAGCTTTAACCCAGCGATTTCTGTTATCTCCTTAAACACCTTTTGCCAGAAAAATTGTGAGCATCCAGTTCTGACCATAGATCGCCCAGCTCAAGTACTGAATTGTTCTAGTTCAAAGATACAGAATACATTTGGATTGAAGTTTCCCTATTTTGCACCCAGTACATGCCTACTCAGAGTCCCACAATGAGATGGCAGGAAGCAGTTCTTGATTTGAAGTAGACCATATCATATGCTGTTCGGCCTTAGCCGCATTCTCACTTTCCTTTTTCAATATATTCAGGAAGGCTCAAGAAAGCCAGAAGGAAATGAAATTGCTTTTGGATATGTACCGCTCAGCCCCAAAGGAGCAGAGAGACAAAGTCCAACTGATGGCTGCAGAGAAGAAGGCCAAAGCTGAGGTAATTGTGCCTGCCATTGCCCAATTTATTTATTTTATTTTACCTTTTATCACCTTTTATCTGAATACCTCAGGGCAGCAGTTCACAGCATCAAAAATACAAAACAAAAACACAAAGTGCATAATAAAAGGAAGTCTTTATAGAATTGTGGAGTTGAAGGGACCAAAAGGGTAATCTAGATCCTCGATATGTGGCCCCCTGGACAAGAATGAAACAAACCCCTCACTGCCCCCTCCAACAAACACAGTTAAAAGGACATAGAATGTCAACCAGCCCATGGCCTGTCGGAAGAGGAATGTTTTTGCCTGGCACCTAAAGACATACCATGAAAGCACCAGGCAAACTTCCCCGGGGAGATTTCCACAAACATGGAGCCACAAGCTGAAGAAAAGGCCCCTTCTTGTGTTGCCATCCTCCGAACCTCTCGTGGAGGGGTCACACGAAGAAGGGCCTCAGATTATGATTTCAGGGTCCCAAGTAGGTCCATATGGAAAGAGGCAGTCCTTGAGGTATTGTGGTCCTGAGCCTTTGAAGGTTTTGTGGGTCAAAACCACCGCTTTGAATTGGGCCTGGAAACTAATGGACAGCCAGTGCAGTTGGGCCAGGATCGGTATAATATGCTCAAACCGTCTGGCTCCGGTGAGCAACCTGGCTGCTGAATTCTGCACTAGTTGAAGTTCCAAGAGGTCTTCAGAGTTAGCCCTAATTGCAATAATTTAACCTAGAGGTTACCAGAGCATAGATGACAGTAAGGCTATCCCTGTCCAGATAGGGGCATAGCTGGGTCACCAGCCAAAGGCACCCCACGCCACTGAGGCCACCTGAACCTCAAGCAACAGCAAAGGACCCAGGAGGACCCCCAAGCCACATACCTGCTCCTTCGGAGGGAGTGTAACCCTATCAAGAGCAGGCAACCTCCCACCCACCCAATCAATGTTTATATCCTGTTCTCCTGTTCCTCATGGGGCTTCTTAGGCTCTCAGTGCATCCTAAAGCAACATAGTAACTTGGGCATAGCACTTGGACATTTCCTCCGTAGACTCTTGAAGGCAGGGCTGGGGAAGCAGTGACCTCCAGATATTTCAGCTTCCACCACCAGTGGCCATGTTGACTGGAGCTGATGGGAGTCGCAGTCCAACGGCATCTATTTGGACAGCCACAAATCCCCCCTGCTTGAGGTCCATTGCTGCAAAGTCCCCCCCACTTTTTGCAAAACGCAAAGGGTTCTGTGGAGGGTGGCTCTCTGCCTTAAAGATGCATTGCGGACCTGGGGAAAACTTGATTCCTCACCAAAGTTTAATTCATTGAAAACCGCATGTATTTCAGACGAATTTCCTCTGGGAGGTGACGGCCAAAGGTTGGTAGTAGCTTTTTGTGGCCTTTTTAAAAATCCCTTTCGTGGTTATTATTTTTTCCAACAAAACAACACCACCACAAACTGGCTTATAAGTACAGTATAAAACCAAATTTACTAGAATAATAGCTAGAATAGAGATAGACTTGTAACCATTCAAACAACAAACATACTAAGATGCCATGTGCAAGGCAAAGCCTGGAAAATACTGTAAACATGGAGTGGATAAATATACAACTGTATCTTAACAAGTTACATGTGCAGTAAATGTTATACAGACTGGATAAATGGTTTTGTTGTTTGAATTATTACAAGTCTATCTCTATTCTAGCTATTATTCTAGTAAATTTGGTTTTATACTTATAAGCCAGTTTGTGGTGGTGTTGTTTTGTTGTATTGTTATTACTGTCACCACATTTGATACTTTGTGTATATACTTATTATTTTTTCAACCCAACCTCCTTTCCCTGACCTACTTCCTGCCAGTTGGAGGAGCTGAGGCAGAGGGTGAAGGAACTGGAGGACAAGGAGAAGAAAGAGAGCAAAAAAATGGCAGACGAGGACGCGCTTCGGAAGATCCGGGCTGTGGAGGAACAGATAGAATACCTGCAGAAGAAACTCGCCATGGCTAAGCAGGTGAGGAGCGTTAGAGAGAAAGTTTCTGTATAAAAATAGGAAGAGATAAAAACAACGAGTTTTTACTTTTCCAAAAGGCCTTTCAAAATAAAATAGTGAATATAGTCTTCTATCCTTGCGGTAAATCTGCAGTACAAAAAACCAAAAAAGAGCCCTTGCCCATCTTTATAAATCTGTGTTCACACAATACATTGTCCTTTGGTTGTACATGGCGAGTTTATACGTTATCGCCATCTGCCAGATTCTACAAAACCATTTTGGTTTTTTTTAGAAAAACCTAATATGTTGAAATCAATCTTTTAGCTGCAGTCAGGAGTTTAGTTACCACTTCTACATCTGTACTCTCTACTCACTCTTCTAGATAATTTATTGGATTTTTTTTTTGGGGGGGGATTCCAACTATGTGATTTGTTTTTATATAGTCCAAAGTATGATGGCAGTAAAAAAATTTTTTATCTTGTTACGTTTCCTGAAAATATGAATATAAAATGTGTGCGATATACCACATCTCCCACAGTAAGCATGAGCTAGACTATACATGTTTCAGTTTATGAGGGGTCAAAGACAATTGGTGTCAGGTTTTGTGGTAATGATCTCTTAGATTTATTGCTTACTAATATTTTCCCCTGTTTTATTGCCAGTCCAGCCCCAAACTCTGTCCTGTGTATTAATCTCCAGATCTTTCTCCCATTTTTTTTTTAAAAAAATGCTTGTTTTCTTCCTTTCTTGTAAATTTCAAAGAGGAACTCATAAATACAGTGGTACCTCGGGTTACATACGCTTCAGGTTACAGACTCCGCCAACCCAGAAATAGTATCTTGGGTTAAGAACTTTGCTTCAGGATGAGAACAGAAATTGCGCGGTGGCAGCGCGAGACCCCATTAGCTAAAGTGGTGCTTCAGGTTAAGAACTGTTTCAGGTTAAGAACGGACTCCAGACCTTCTTAACCCGAGGTACCACTGTCTGTCTGTGGCCATGCTTGCTGGGGCTAGTGGGAGTTCAGGAGCACCCCCACCCCTGGTAGAAAGGGAAGGGTTGAAAGTGCAGCCTCGTTCCCCATTGGTTGCTCTGCCGTTCTTCCAGGAAGAGGAGGCGCTGCTCTCCGAAATGGACGTGACGGGCCAAGCCTTTGAGGACATGCAGGAACAGAACATCCGCCTGATGCAGCAGCTCAGAGAGAAGGACGACGCCAACTTCAAGCTCATGTCAGAGCGCATCAAATCCAACCAGATCCACAAGCTGCTGAAAGAAGAGAAGGAGGAGCTGGCAGACCAGGTGCTCACCTTGAAGACACAGGTGAGTGGGGAAAGGGGAGTTGGACAGGAGGAGCAAAGGACTCAGTGCTTGGGGTTCAGAATTCAGTTTCCTGAATACTTCACCTGTCGCCTTCAAGAAAAAGCAAGGTTTTCTTTTAGGGTTCCCCCCCCCATATTTTTCAAATTTATACATTTCATTAGTTTTACAATCAATTTAACATTTCCAAATCTTGACTTCCTTCCCCCTCTTTCTGTGGTTCCTTAGATTTGTTTTTTAATATCTTCTGCATATCCATTCTGCTCATTTATTTATCTTCTGTAAATATATACTGTTATAAAACTGCAGGTTATTATTATATTATTCCTGCTAATGTATTTTATCAGTTTATAATTTATTTGTAAATATTCAATAAACCATTTCCATTCTTTTATAAAAAAAAGTTTGTTGATTTCTAATTCTTTCGGTAAGTTTCGCCATTTCAGCATATTCCATGAGTTTTTGTATCCATTCTTCCTTTTCTGGGACTTCTGCTTCTTTCCACTTTAGGGCAGGTAACATTATTGATGGCTGTGATGAGCAGAATAGATAGCTCAGTTGGTTAGAGTGCAGTGCTGATGTGCCGAGGTTGCAGGTTCGATCCCTGTATGGTACAGCTGCATATTCCTGCAATGCAGGGGGGTCAGAGTAGATGATCCTCAGGGCCCCGTCCAACTCTGCAATTCTGTGATTCTATGTTCTTGCCTCTTGAAGGTGGATGCCCAGTTGCAAGTTGTACGCAAGCTAGAGGAGAAAGAGCATCTCCTGCAGAGCAACATTGGCACAGGAGAAAAGGAGCTGGGCTTGCGAACCCAGGCCCTGGAAATGAACAAGCGAAAGGTAAGCTCGAAAAGACTGCCTGCCCCTGTGTAGACCTGTAAGACTACTGGGGGGGGGGGGGTTTGGGGCCCCACAACCTGGGGAATATCATAGGGCAGTGACTCAAAACCAGGCATTATCCATCATTGCCCTTGCATTGTGGAATGCCCTTCCTCTGCCATATGGGAAGCCTTATCCAAGAAGGTGTGTTTTCATAGGTGTCGTGTGAAGACACATCTTTTTGCCCAGGCATTCTCTGACCCATAAGATTGGACCCTGTTATTATGGCATTTCTGCATTTGTAGTAGCTGTTTTTAGTGGCTCTTATATTGTATCTCTGTTTTTATGGTACAGTGGTACCTCAGGTTACATACGCTTCAGGTTACAGACTCCGCTAACCCAGAAATGGTGCTTCAGGTTAAGAACTTTGCTTCAGGATGAGAACAGAAATCGTGCTCCGGCGGCGTGGCAGCAGCAGGAGGCTCCATTAGCTAAAGTGGTGCTTCAGGTTAAGAACAGTTTCAGGTTAAGTACGGACCTCCGGAATGAATTAAGTACTTAATCTGAGGTACCACTGTACTGTTGTGTTTTCGTATGCCACTTAGATATTTAAAATGTTGAGTGGTCTAAAAATGCTTTTAAATTAATTAATGGAAACAAATAGGTATAAGTTGCTTACCATGTCAGTATGATGGTTATTGCACCAAAACCCATCAGAGTTGTTCATGAAGCTCAATTAGTGTTCTTGGACCAGTCCCCCACCACCCGCAGGGCTGTTTGCGATGTTAAATGCAGGTGGGCTCATATAGTGCCTTGTGCTACTTTGGAGGAAAGGCAGAATATCGATGTAAGGAATACAAGTAAATTGAAAAGCAGCATTATTTATTAGAAGGTGTATCTCGCCCTTTACATTTAAGAAAGCTAGCGATAAAGTAAGACAAAGCAGGAACCCATGGCTGCAAAAGAACATAATAAAAACACCAATAGGCAGAAGGAAACCAATAAAGCAAACTGCAAGCTGAGCAGAGGAGCAGCTATTCTCAAAGCCAGATGAAACGCTGTGAAAAGCCCGAGGGGGCCAAGGGCTCAGTTTGCCTGGCGCCTGGAAGGTAGTTACGAAGACACGCCGACCGGCTTCTTTCTCTCTGAGCTGCAGCGGCTGTGTGAGTCCTTTGAACGCTTGCCCCATCATTAATGCGAAGGGACGGTTATTTTATTTGATCTCCCTCCAGGGGGAAGCTGCTGAGAAATCCCAAATAATGCCGTAATTAGGATACAAAAACAGATTATACATACCCCTCTGGAGTTGGTTGTTTCCCCCCAAAAAACCCACACACCACACCAAACCAGTGGCCACAGAAAGATTTGATGAAGACCAAAAGGGGCAGCGGATGAAAGGAAGAGTGGAACTTCAAAGGGATAACGAGCAGGGCAGCCAGATGAAAATAATTAGCTGGGCAGAGGTTTCCGGGAGGGATAAGTGACGAGAGAGTAACAGGGAAGCAGAGCAAGCAGTGGGGTCAGAGGTCAGGAGGAGAGGAGGGGGTTGATGATGATGGTGATGAGAATCTCTTGGAAGGGTTCCCCCTGAAGAAATGGCACTGGTGGGAATGGGCACTGCTGCACTAGCCAAACAACAACAAAAAGAGGCATGCAGTTTGGTTTCTGGCTACTCCATCACCTGCCCTTGGTTGGTGTATGTGGGCACAGTCTGGAGATGAGAATGATCCTACTGGGACACACCTCCCTGCCTGTTGGCCATGCTGGAGAGGTTGGTGGCATTTGGTCCTGTGATATCTGGAGGACCTTGGGCCTTCTGTTAATCCAGCCAGGTTATTCTTAGCTCCTTATCTGTGGCTATTTCTGTGCCGCACATTAGTGCAGCCGGAATAATAACCTCGATTTTACCCTCCAGGATCCACCCCCCTCATTTTGACTCTAAATCTTCTCTTTGAAGATTTTGCCAAAGCAAAGCCTGAAAGCTTTGCTGCCTTTGAGTAGGGAGCTGTGAGCAAAAAGGTCTGCAGATGCCTTTTAAAAGTGGGAAGTGCAACAATAGGTTGACACTCTGGGCTGCTTTTGTCCATCTCTGCAAGGTCAGCAGCTGGCCAGAAAGAGAGAGAGGATCTTTCATTGTTTTGCTCTTCAGGCTATGGATGCGGCCCAGCTAGCTGATGACCTTCGGGCACAGCTGGAGCTGGCACAGAAGAAGCTGCACGACTTCCAGGATGAGATTGTGGAGAACAGTGTGACCAAGGAGAAAGACATGTTCAACTTCAAGCGAGCCCAGGTACCGGCAGGCGGCTTTGGCTACCTTGGGCCAAATCTGCCTTTGCTTCCATTCATATTAACTCAAAGTTCCTGCCTCTTGCCCTCTGCCAGTGCTTTGGTTTCCACCTTCTCTGAATGGTTGCCCTCCATCGCCATGGCTCAACTTCAGCTGTTTTCACTCACTGTTTTTCTCCCTGGTCGCTGCTGGTTGTGAATCCCTACTTAAGAAGAATCCCTACGTAGGAAGTTGCCACGTGTTGACTCAGACACTCGGTCTGCTCAGCAGAATGTTGTCCACACATACTGATGGCAACTGCCTGGGATTCAGGCAGGGCACATGCCCATTCCTGCCAGGAGATGCCAGGGATCAAAATGGGGACCTTTGCATTTGAAACATGTGCTATAGTGAGCACTGAAGACTCTTGTCTTTGTCCAGCAATATCATCCCAACTGGCCAGTCAAATGCTCTAGGAAGCACATTTGACATCTCTCACTTCCTGAAGCCAGAGCTTCATGGTCACATTGCTCTGCCTCATCCAAATTATCTAAGCTAATCATGTATCATACCAGTATGTTTTGAATGTGTGTGATGCATCCTCCCTTGTGAAGAAGCCCCCCGCCCGGCTTTTAAAGGAAAATGGGCAGAGCTTGCAAATTTACACCTGGGAGCCTTTTGCAGCTCTTAGGAGAGAAGGTGCTGGTCCTAATGACATGTATTTGGCTAATGTTCCCCTGCAGGAAGACATTTCAAGGCTGCGGAGGAAACTGGAGACCACCAAGAAACCTGACATGGTTCCCAACTGCGACGAGATTCTTATGGAGGAGATCAAAGATTACAAGGTAGGCAACGGGATGCCAATGTCCCCCTTGGAGGATGGATTTGGGCTGAGCCAGATTAACATTGGAAGTAGACCCCAGTTAGCAGTGCCCAAGGGACTGGCAGCAGTTCTGACCTAATCGCACGAGAGAACCCTCTGACACTTTGGGGCAATCAGAGGTCAGGGACTGGTGGCCTTCCAGATGTGACCCCGCCCCTCATCTCCCATCAGACCCAGGGACAATGTTGCAGTCCTAGCAACATCTGGAGAGCCACAGACTCCCCACCCTGTTGTAAACAATATGGTCCCGGCGGCCGCTCCCAGTCACCAGTCTAGCTGCCGCATTCTGGATTACTTGTAGTTTCCGGGTCACCTTCAAAGGTAGAGCGTATTGCAGTAGTCCAAGTGGGAGATAACCAGGGCATGTACCACTCTGGTGAGATAATGCACAGGCAGGTAGGGTCTCAGCCAGTGTACCAGGTGGAGCTGGTAGACAGTGTGAGTCTCCACAGAGAGCTGCGAGTCCAAAAATGATTCCCAGGCTGCGTACCTGGTCCTTTAGGGACACAGTTACTCCACTCAGGACCAGGGAAGCTTCTTAATGTTTAATTATGTTTTTATATATGTCGGAAGCTGCCCAGAGTGGCTGTGGAAACCCAGTCAGATGGGTGGCGTACAAAGGAATTATTATTATTATTATTATTATTATTAGCCTCTGCATCAGCCAGGTGTACCTTAAACAATGCCTCTTTCTTTCCCAAGGGCCGCCTGACCTGCCCCTGCTGCAACATGCGCAAGAAGGATGCTGTACTCACCAAGTGCTTCCACGTCTTCTGCTTTGAGTGCGTGAAAACGCGCTACGACACCCGGCAGCGCAAGTGCCCCAAGTGCAATGCTGCCTTCGGGGCCAACGACTTCCATCGCATCTACATTGGCTGAGCCTTCCGAGTCGTGGGAGGCCAGAGAGTCCTCTCTTGCTGCCAACCACCATATTCGTTTCCCATCAGCAGGCTGGCTACTGCCCCTCTCTTTCACCTATTTTCTTTTCTTTTTGTAATGGCAGATCCCTTTTGGCTGGAGGGTACAGCCAGGTTACTGTTAATTATTTTTTTGTACTCTTGTTTTTTGTTTTTTTTTAATCTTCAGGGGGTCCCTCCCCCCACTGGCTTTTCCTTTAGGCCCAGCCCAGCCACCAACCAGTCATCAACCGTTGCCTGTGCCTGTTATAGATGGTTGTTGTGGAGACACGGTGTATGCTTTCGGCCCTGATGTGAATTGGCCTGTGGCTTAAACCAAACAACAACCTTAAAACTGGGAAGTCTGCTTGGAAGTAGTTTTCATCAAGCTTTCTCATCGCTTTAGGTTCCTTTACTTTCGAATAAAGGAGAAAACTGTTCTTCCCGGTCAAAGTGTCTCACTGTTTTGTGTATGTCCGTGCTTGCAGTTGTGTGTACTGAGAAGCTTGTGGAGTCTCGATGGTCCCACACACAGTAAGGGTTGCATCAGGGTGACCTGGTGTAACCCTTTAAAGGCTCACTGTAGGCAGGCACTTGTGTGTGGGCAGAAGAATGATGGAAATGAAACCACCCCAGGCTTAAGACTGGACTTAATCCTGACCTTCTGAAGCGAGGCAAGAATTTCCAGTGACGTGCACATAACGGAGCTTGAGGCTTCAGAAGGTGATGGGCCCATCTCTGCCTCTGGACCATGCGCATGCCTTGCTGCACCAGAAGAGGAAAGATGCAGAAGTGAATCCTTGGTTCACCTGGCAGCCCTGGGTGTTGACATGCACACTCTCGTGTGTGTATGTGTGTAGATAGATAGATGGTGCAGCCTTGAGCAATATCCTGAGTGTGTTGAGCGTTCTGCTGTGCCCTCTTTGTGTAGGGCCAATACACTGTTCCGCGACAGATTTACAGCATCTCTGCTACTGACTTTCAAATTCCGGGATTGCTGAAATATATACAACAACAAAAATCATGTTGAGTCATGTTACTCAAATTGGGTCTACTAGACCCCAAAATTTTGAGCAATGCAGACTAAAGTTGCTTCTGGGGCGCCTCTGGGATTAGGGCCCCTGAAACTTAAGCTTGATTAGTTTCATAGTACAGTGGTACCTTGGGTTACAAACGCTTCGGGTTACAAACTCCGCTAACCCAGAAGTAGTACCTCGGGTTGAGTACTTTGGCTCAGGATGAGAACGGAAATTGCGCAGCGGTGGCAGCAGGAGGCCCCATTAGCCTCAGATTAAGAACAGTTTCGGGTTAAGAACGGACCTCGGGAACGAATTAAGTTCGTAACCCAGGGTACCACTGTAGATCGACCCCTGGGATCTACAGGAAGCATTTGGGGTCTTTAGAGGAGGCTTGGAATAGCCGGGGAAAGGCAGATCCATCTTGGGGAACCAGCCCCCTCTTGAGGACCATACTGTGAGATCTGGACTCCATCTAAATATGTGACTAAATCATACTAAAGCTATGACAGTCTTGGCTGCGTCGTCTTTTCTCCAAAGGAGCACTGACCCTGGTTGAGGAACAAGACCCCTGGGATCCCATGTTATTCCCATCTCTGTAGGAATAACAATATATACATATAGGCCTACAGAAGGAAACATCTATTCCTGGTTGCCCTGAGTTTTTGTCAAAATTTAAGAGTATGGGAAGTAATTTTGGTGCTGCAATAAATTAAGGGAGCCAGAAATCCTTGCCTGATCTACTGCAGATCAACCAGAGATCTACCGGTGCACACCTGGAATCCCATCTTTATCGTAGGAGAATTAACGTGGGCCACGTTTTAACTTCTGCCCTTTCTGTGTCTGGTTTGCCAGTCACAGTTCAACTGAAATATTTTGTCTGTAGTGCATCCATCAAGAGCCGCCTCAAACTTCAGGCTGCTGAGCTGTTTCTGCCCATCAGGAGATGAACAGGGCAGAAGGTTTTGTCAGCTGGGCATCAGAGGTGTACAGACTTCTACTTGCTTGAAGAGTTCCTGACAGTCGAGACAGACAGTTGTGGCCCAATTGAAACTTGGCATGTGCCACATAAAACCTGTGCATAGTGTGAGTTTCTGTTTCATGTTCTAGCCCATCCTATCTGTTTCGGGTGGCTGCAAGCAGGTTTCAAAATCTTTTCAGCTGTTAATACACTTACAGGATCAATGTGAGTCACCACCCTTGACTGCTTCACTTCCTGGCATCCTGGAATGTACTGCTTACATAAAGGACTCTGAAGCCCTGCAGAACTTGCTTTGGGCATCTGGTTGGAGAGATAGAACCAAGAGATTGGTTTTCCACTGAGCTGTCCTTCCTGGTATATGGGCTGCATAAATGGAAGATGTTCAGTGCCACAGAGCAGCAATCTCTGTATTTGCAGGGGATCTTTTAAACCTGAAACAGACGGGTTGTAGCTGCACTACTGTCTCCCAGAAGCAGGAGAGAATTGAAGTGGAAAGAGCGGATATAGACTCCAGCTGTGTGCCTGCAGCCCATTGAGGGAAGATACATAAGCTGGTGGAGGGAGAGTGTCTCCCTGTTGCTGCAACTGTTCCATAGAACGCAGACCTAGGAATAGATGCCTAGATGCTAGGCTGTTTTGCATGGGTATTGGGGCCGTGGAAACTGCTGTGTCACCTTTGCCAATACAGTGGTACCTCGGGTTACATACGCTTCAGGTTACATATGCTTCAGGTTACAGACTCTGCTAACCCAGAAATATTACCTTGGGTTAATAACTTTGCTTCAGGATGAGAACAGAAATCGTGCAGCGGCAGCGCAGTGGCAGTGGGAGGCCCCATTAGCTAAAGTGGTGCTTCTGGTTAATAATAATAATAATATATTATTTATACCCCGCCCATCTGGCTGAGTTTCCCCAGCCACTCTGGGCGGCTTCCAATCAAGTGTTAAAAATGATACAACATTAAATATTAAATAAGAACAGTTTCAGGTTAAGAACGGACCTCTGGAACGAATTAAGTACTTAACCTGAGGTACCACTGTAGAGAGTTAACTAGCTGCCGTGTGCATTCCTTTAGCTAGGAGTGCTGCTCCTGCAGCAAACACCCCGGTGTTAATAAATTTCAGCAGGACTCGGGTGTGCTTTTAACTGTCTCACGATCATGTTCCATGTGTGAAAGTTTCCTATCATTACATCAGCGTATAAAAGTCACCTGAAAGCCTATGGTTGCTGATAATAAACCAATATTATAGACAAGGCAATCATGGGATCCTGGGTTGGTCTTCTCCCTTGATCAAAGTGGATTTGCTCTTCAGACAGCAACAGTAACCCATCATGCAAATCAACCAGCCTAAAAAAAATACTATTAAAATTTATTTCAAAACCAAAAACATACAACCATGACCAGCACCTCCCTGACCCCCACCAACCCAGCAACCGGAGTTTTCAACCAGAAAAGGGAGACGATAGCCAGAGCTGATTTGTAGAAGTTGGGGGTGGACTTCATTAATTCGCACCAAAGCTGCTGAATGTCTAGCAGTGCTGGCTTTCTGTTGGGTAATTGAAAGAACAAAAGAAAAGAAAGTGTCATATGTACCAGAAGAGGAGGGAAAGAGAAGGGGTTTTCTGGTAGGGTAAAATTGCCTGGTGGCCCTTAGTGGGAGATGCTATCTAGTAATATTGGAAGCTACCTTATACCGAATCAGACCATTGCTCTATCTAGCTCAGACAGGCAGTGGTTATTTGGGAGTTCCCCAACCCTACCAGGGATTGAGACTATATGCAAGGCAGATGCCATATCAATAAGCTATTCTTCTAGGCATTGGCCAGTATATCTCCATTGGGTTCTCAAGCCTTCAGATTCAGAGAAAGCAGTGAGCCAAGATTCAGTAGCTACATTCCTTTAAGTTCCACACATGGATATTAGATGCATAGGGAAGTCCATGTGGCATATGTGTAGCCCTATTTTCCCCCCTTATTGCCCTGCATTAGGCAGAAAAACTTGAAAAGTGAACCTGCTGCCAAATCGTGGTGAGCAGGCTACTTTGGCACGATTCCTGCCTCCTCGCTCACTGCTCGCCTGCCTTTCCATGTAATGAGCATCCTGGATCTATGGTAAGAGTAGAGTTCTCAGTTCCACTGGCTCCCGAGCAAGGCATATGTGGCCAGTTTGGCACATAAGCAGGCAACTGCCCTAACTCTGTGGGGGAAGAAATGCCTGGTACCCAAAGTGGCATGAGAGCACGTATAGCAGGGAGCCTCAGGCCTAGCTGAAGGAATGTCTCCATCCCCATTGTTCAGCCCAGACACTGAGGTCTAGCTCTGAGGGTCTTCCAACAGTTCCCTCGCTGTGAGAAGTAAAGTTACAGGGCCTTCTTTGTAGTGGTGCCTGGCTGCGGAATGCCCTTCCGCCCGGTGTCAAACAGATAAACAGCTATGTGACCTTTAGAAGACACCTGAAAGGGAACCCTGTATCGGCAAGTTTTTAGTGTTTGGTGTTTTGCTGTGTTTTTATATTCTGTTCGAAACCACACAGAGTGGCTGGGGCAACCCAATCAGATGGGTGGGGTATAAGTACTTTACTTTACTTTACTTTACTTTACTTGGAATGCTTCTAACTCCTTGAAGTGTGGTAATTCCTCTTGCTTGTCTTTATGGAGAGATGTGGGGAGGCCTCTGATTCTCTCTCCCCTCCCCCCCCCCGTGTAAAGGTCACAGTTACCCCAATAGTTCCATTCACTTTTGTCTCTTGCCCCACCCACCCCTGGAACGCACCCCTTGCGAAGGTATATGTCCCTCTGGCTAGAGATTCTCCACCCCTTACCTATGGAAACAGGGATATAGTATGTCTCAAAGCAACATGCTAAATGGCCCACGCTGGTAAAAGAATCTTTGTCCCTTATCAGCGGTGTACAGCGAAATTTTTCGTAGGGGAGCAGCTCGCAAGGGCGATGGGGATGTTGCGTGTGTGAGCATCGTACCTCCCTC